AATAGTGGTGTCGTTGATCGTGCCATGTACGCTCCGGCTAGAGCTCTAAACAAGTGCACCTCTAACCCAGCAACAAAAGAAGGGGATTTCCCCCAAGTATCGGAGGTTGGCCCGCAAGGTGACCATTCATCTGCAGATGGTGGCCTCCATGATATCAGACCAGATCTGTTTAAGGAGAGAGAAGACTCGATCGGACAAAGAAAAAAGGTACATGTCGCTCTCTTTGCGATCATTTTATAAAATTTAAGTTTTTATAATACTATTTTAATTCAGGAATTTTCCCGGCTTCAATTACCTTGTTTTATGTCTATTTTTCTGTGAGGAAATAATTGTTTTATTTGCTGCCTATGTTTCCTCTATTGAAAGGTTCCAAAAAAGAGGCGATGCCTTAGCTCTGTGGTATCAGGAAAGCCCATCACAGAAGAGGTATGCAGGAACAAGATCGCTGCATATCAGGCCGAGAGCAAGAAAACCCCAACATCCAGACCACTCAAAACAAAAGCAAAGAAGGTTCACACCATATCTTCTCAACAGTCTCAACCTGGCCCAAGCAGTCCTCCCGCACTGCAACACATCATCGCTTCAACAAGAGCACCGCCACCATCTGATAACGACAGCGCCTCGGATATCGATGACACTGCTGACAAGTGCTGTTTGTCGCCGAGTCCGCCCCATTGAACTCGCTGAGTCCATCTACTTCACCTCGTGGGGCCAATGCATGTTCGAGAACTGCATGCACTGGACACACATCAAGTACTGTTGTAGTGTAACCCGTCTACGAGCAAAGGATACATTTTTTGTCTCTGTCATGGTCTCCCTTGTCTGCAGCCTGCAGATCAGTAAATGCTATTCAGTTTCATTCATTCTTAATCATTTTCAGAGGAGAAATTATCGTCATAAAAAAGAAAACAAATAAAGACCCCAGCTGGAAACCTTTTTAATATTTCAAAAGTGGGGATATGTGTAGGGGTCCATTGGGGATAACTGCTTTCATTTCCAACTTTTTAGTAAAAATAGGAAACTTCCCATTTCAGCAATCGTTTTTTTCCCCCGGCAAATCCCCCCCCCCCAAAAAAAGGCAAGATCACTGAATGTACGTTAAGTCGATCATATTCCAGGCAGGAAACTCGAAACGATACATTTCAATTGCCCATTTATAAATTACATTTACAAGTTTGCCGATTGAAGTTTTGTGTTGCCCAAACGAATGTTTCGGGAGACACCAGTCCTAACATTTCCTGTGACCGTTGTGTTTGTATGTTAAAGTTTATTTAATGTTTTTTTAATTACTCTCGTTACCTAAGTAGGCCTATTCGTCTGAATTTACATGAAAAATTGACCTAATTAAGTACCAAAGATGATGTAGGATATATTTCATGTCAAAGGTCGAAGGTCAAATGAGGTCAGCTATGATTTACAGAGGTTAAGGTTTAATAAGAAATAGGCTACAATTAAAAATAAAACACGACCACTCAAGAAAACCTGAAAGTAGAAAAGCAAAGAAAAATATGTAAAATGTCATTTATTTATTTTTCATTTGAAATGTATAGCTTTAATACCATATGATATATTTTCGAAGTATAGAAGGTTGATTTTTGGAAAATATAAGATAGCTACCGACAATGGAGCCTGATGGAGACACGCCGAGTCATGACATACATTTATTCCACGTATGACTTTACCGGGACACCGTACCCCCCGCAACCCACGGAAATAGGTCACGCTCGACGCGTGGAGGCGCTTCGCGAGGACGTCGGAGATCGTTCCGTTGTGTGAAAACTGCGAAGGTCGTCCAGTTTTTATTGTTGTTTGCATATTGCCCATGAACTAAGGAAGGTAAATAGGACATCCATTGGTATCTTGCACTTGTTATTTTTTTTCAAAACAAAGAAAAAGCCCTATACCCGCGAAAACTGGTCTCTCGAGGATATATATTTTTTTACCACGACGAGTGCTAAATTCTGAGTGCAAAGAGCACAGTCGCGGGCCCACGACGTACATGTACACAGAAGACGTCATCCATCCCGCGCATAGCATAGCATAACATGCATAGCATAGGCCTAGCTTTAGCCTACAAACATTGACCTTAGTACAAACATGGCGCGCGCGGCCTAGCTTTGCACTTGTTTTGTGATGGCTTGTTGTGTGTGTTTGCAATACATGCAGTACGTGTATTATTGTAACCGCGCGCTGGCATATGCAGATAACTCGCGCGCATACAAAACTAAACTACAAAACAAAATCTTTGTTTTGTGGTATTTCTGGTTCAAATATCTGGGTAAAAACTACAAAATTGAGTATGGTTATTAACAAGAACGGATGTACGAGACTTCATAACACACCACTAGTGATGTATTTATTTTTCTTTTAATCGACCAGAAAATTCTCCCCACTCAAATAATTGGTCTCGTCCAACCTTTTCTCATCCATATTCATGATTTCCTTGCGTTCATGACTCCTTACTGCAGATGATGTTGCATCCCTATCCTTCCCATCCTTCATCTCATGCACTACCTTTTAAAGGAATTCTCAAGTGGTACTACACTGCTTGGGGTATTCCATATCGAATTTATACATCATTTTGAAGCATAAGTCTACCGCTTTGAGTGAATATTTCGTTGAAATGGCTCTTCCCTCAAAAATGTAGGTTCCATCTTCATCGCACTTTTTACTGCAGTGTCAGCCATCAGCAGGCGCCTCATCAATCCCCACGCAGGAGAGATGGTACCATACAGTCATGAGGACACTGGTCACTGCAACACTGGATAATTTTTTCTTCAGTTGCTGTGCAGGTGAACGAATTAATACACGTACATTGAACAAAATATCAATGTTTTCACGAAGAGGCGAATTTAGTATTTCACTGTCTGAACAAACATTCGAGATAATCGCGTTTAAAGTCGGTTGTTTTTTCCATTTAACAATTTGAAACTTATAGATGCATAAGATATGCATGATTTAGGTATCAGAGAAAAGGAGAGATTTTAATCTTCCTTAAGGTAGAACACTTTAAAAAAAAAATAGGTGATTAGTTTTGCAGAGTTAATCAATAATAAGACCAATGGCTGTTCGTGCAAAACGAAAAAAATCGACCGACTTGAAAAACGGCATCAATTTTAAGATTTTGACAATGACATAAATTGGAGTATGTGCACGAACAATCATTCAATCAATCATGAACCCCCCCCCCAAAAAAAACCCCATCACATCACAGACCATGAATGGACTAGACAGCTGAACAGAGTCTCTACCCTACCAACTCCTTGTTGTGGACTACATAGAATTCATGTTTTCTTAATTTTCGCAGCATTTTGCATCACTGTCCAGTCCATTCATGATCAGCAATGTGATTGATGAGAGAGAGGACCTTTTGCGCTCATGGTGTTGTAAGCTTTTCTATTATGCATCGTCTTCCTCCCATTGTCAGGGTTTATCTTCAGAAAGCGTCTGTGTACAACAAATTCAGGGAAAAACAAAAAGGTAATGGACAATATATTCACATCAATTCAACCTTCCACTCAGTCAGATGTCACTGACCACTCTTAATTATTTGGCATGACGTCACAAACTGACATAAGGTCACTTCTCAAGCTCCTTACTTGAATGCCCAAACATCAAGATTCAACAAGCAGCAATATTATACCACCAGCCAGCTACAATCAGCTGTTTTTGACAAAATTATTAAATCTTGGACACCTGAGTGAAGTACACTTATAATGTATGAGCGTATATTTGGACTACCAGAAATTATTGTTAGATCGAAATATCGCACCTTGTCGACTATTCGGCCTATCGAGCCTTCGGAGTATCGAGCCTTCGGAGTAATTAACCTTTAATCATTTCGTCCTTTAATTAACCTTTAGTCCTTTCCAACCTGGAACCTTCGGACTACCGGGCTGTCACCAATAACTTACATGTGGTTTATTTACAAATACAACTAGCCATATATTTAAAGACTGTGTGCTGAAACATATTGAAGAGTTAGTGGTCAAAGTTGACCTACCGTTGAAGAAACTCAAGGGTCGACGAGCACGGAAGTGGGTACATGATGTTAACGCAGTAGAAGCTGCAGAGCAGTAGTATGAGGGTTGTATCCATTGATCCAATGTTTCCCATCACAACATGCTTGTCGATCAAACACAGAAGTGGTTGTTGCTGCTCAGCAGGTTATCTCCTATGTGACAGAAAAGGGGAGGAAATACACCGAGTCTGAAAATTATCAAGACAGTTTTAACACACTTAAATTGTACGTGGCATTATAAACATTTTTAAAAGGTTCCTAAATCTTCAATGCTTGCATTGTGGAATCTAAATTAAATTGCAGAAGCACCATACGAAATCAGTCTATTGTAGAAGAGTGGTGACTCTGAGGAAATTCAGTTAGAACTTTTCTTCACAATTGGCTCAGAGGTGGTTTAATAGAAAAGATTAAAATTTAGACAATGCCAATCCAAGTTCTATTTTAGTGTAAGGTTGGCTGTTCTAGCTGACACAAGACTTTGGATTGAGTTCGATAGACATTAAATCCTCTACACTCCTAACACTTCATGTTACAACTTGAAATAAATATCACCCGAACCTCTACATTCATTGAACTTACCACAAGCAACAATACATGGGGCTTCTGGAATAACAGGCAGCCTTTCAACTTCAGACGGAGTACATGTTTTCTGAAAGATGTGCAAGTATAAATGGCATTTTAGATTAAGTACATGTTCATGTCCAGCTTGGTGCACAATGAATGCAACCATATTTAATATGGGAATAAATGTGTGTTTTAAACGTGTTATAACACCGTAATTAAAACTGCTCGGAATCTGGACGCTGATAATTACCCGAGCCAAAGACTCTACATCCAGACTCCAAGCAGTTTGTACACGGCAAGTCGCAACATGAACAGCAGTATTCAACTTTACTAAGTCAGTTATTGATTACGTGAAGTGCGTGTGGAACAGTTTTTGTCGCAGCAATTGGGTTTATCCCTTGCATGTTTGTATTAACCCCTTGCAATGACGTCACATAGCTACCACGTTTTGATGTCGTCCGCCATTTTGGGAGTCAAATTACACACAGTTTTGTACACGCATATACGTGACGGCGCCGCCACATGACGTCTTCCGCTCAATTTCCCTTTGACCCGTCACCTTTGCCCTCCTTTTTTGGTTAATTTATCGAGATCTCGGTACGGTACGTCGCCAGGCTCGGGTCAAGGTTTGTACAAAATGGTACATACTTGTGTTGTGGTGCGTTGTAAACACAGGAAAACAGCCGGGTCGGGCATTTCTTTCTATCGGTTTCCTACGGACGAAGAGCGTCGGCAAAAATGGATCAATGCAATAAAACGTGAACCGGGTTGGATGCCGAATGACGGGAGCCGTCTCTGTAGTGCACATTTCATTTCTGGTAAGTCATGTAGGCCTAGGTATAAATGCAGCCTGTGTGGGTAAATTTTGTGAATTCGACATTTGCAAGTTCGTCTTGGCTTTAATCTAACTTAGCTAGGGCGGCTAAAGTGGGATCTTCAGCAGAAGGACTACCGATAACAGTTCAATAAATTCTAGCATTTCGTCATTAAACCATGAATCGTCCTGTTCAAATAACTACCACTGTGATGGGTGAGACATTGCCTAGCATATGCCTAGGCATGCTAGGCCTTTAGTAAGCCATCTTATTTAGGCTGAGTGTTACTCAGGACTATCTGAGCAGAGCCTGCTTCAACAATGCTTGGCATGCTTGGGCTTGGCTTTACTGCCCTTTTTCAATTTCTTATATTTATCTGGTTGAATATTTCTTAAATTAGAATTGCAGTTAACTTATAGTAATATGGCCTACAGTCCTAAAGTTTGAGCCAAAAAAAAACAGAATAGAAATTTCAAACGCATGCAGTAAACTTTTCTTACTCTGAGCAATGATGTAAGCTAGAAAATGACGAGGAAAACACCCCAAATGGGACTAAAAGACCAAGTAAAAAATGATTTAGTTTCTTGCAGGTTTTTCTTTCATAAACCTAAAAGAAGACAAGCGTTTGTTTTCCAAGATGCCAGATTTTCCAAGATGGCATGTAGATTTTTCTGTTTTCTTGCTTCTTTTGCTAATGTATATGGTGTCCAAAGTGATATAGGTACAAAAAAAGATACATGTAGGCCTACAGTTCTATTGGAAAGAAATTTAAAAAAAAGAGGCAATTTATTCAAATTGATCCAATTCAAGCAACATCTATTCCACCACAAGCATACAATGCAAATCATCATAGCCTGAACATGGACAGATGGTTAGAAAAAACTGAAAAAAAGAAAAAAGATAAAAAATAGGTGGCAGGAAACCAACAAAGCAGTTGCGGTTATTATAGGTCTAAGCAAAACAATTTAACCAGTTTCTACTGGTTTATTTGTTTGCCTTGTAATCTCAACTAGTACATAGGTTGAGCCTTTGTCCAAAGTCCCATTACAATAATTGGGAAATGACCTTAATTTGTTTCTAACAGTGTCCTTCAGAGCAATTGAGCTAGTGCACCCCAGTCCCCTCCCACTAACCCCATTGTTGGCTGTATAATAGGGATCAGGGATAGCACATTCCGAGTTTATTGTAAAAAAAAAAGAAGTCAGAAACAGAGTTTTAACTACATGAAATAAATATGTGCATTTATTTTTTTTCTCTTACTTATGCAGGAAAACAGAGCAGAAATCCTCTGTCACCGGATTATGTTCCCTCAGTTTTTCCAGACACGACATCTCCCGACAAGAAACGGAAGAGGACTGCTCTGGAACGGTTTGAAAAGCGTGAGGCACTAAAACTTCGCAGGAGAGAGAATGCCGCTAAAGAAACAGCTGCACAGGCTCTAATGACTTTGCAAACTGAAGCCTTAGAAAAGGTTCAAATGGAACAAGATTTGCAAGAGGAAGCAGCAGAGACTTTACTGAGTCTGCAAGTGCATCAGCCATCTATGTCATGTCAATCTGCACAGCAAGCTTCAACTTCAACTTCTTCCCCTTCAGATACAGTAAGTGCAGCCTCCATTGAGTTAGAGTGTAGGAGACTGTTGGAGGAAAATCATCATCTCAAAGAAACTGTAGAACATTTGTCACTGTCAGAAAACAGCTTCAAAGATGATGACAAGGTCAAATTCTGCACAGGTCTTCCATCATTAACACTACTTCAAACTGTTCTTCAGGAGATTTCACCATTTCTGAACACTCATCCTAAAGCAGTTCTTTCAAAGTTCCAGCAGCTATTAATGACACTTATGTACCTTCGTCTTAACCTCTGTAATCAAGATTTAGCCTATAGATTTAATGTGAACTGCTCAACTGTTTCAAGAACAGTTAATAGTGTGATTGATGTGCTTTATGCAAGGTTGGTTCCCATGGCTGTGTTTTGGCCTGAAAGAGAAGAATTAAGGAAAACCCTTCCAATTGTGTTCAGATCTGTATATCCAAAGTGTACAGTGATCATTGACTGCTTTGAAGTCACAATGGAACGATCAAGTGACCAAAGGGCCAAGTCGCAAACATACTCCAGTTACAAGGCCAGGAATACCTTGAAATATTTGATTGGTGTTGCACCTCAAGGAGCAATCATTTTCATTTCAAAGGGATGGGGGGGGGGTCGAGCAAGTGACAAACACATAACTGAAAATTGTGGTATCTTGTACAAATTGCAACCAGGCGATGAAGTGCTGGCAGACAGAGGTTTCAACATTCATGATTCAGTAGGTGTATATGGTGCGACCCTAAAAAAACCTGCCTTTACTAAGGGCAAGAGCCAACTAAGTAAGGAAGAAGCCGAGACCACAAGAAAACTTGCTTCAGTACGAATACATGTTGAGAGAGTAATAGGTTTGGTCAGGCAGAAGTACGAAGTATTGAATGGTCCTGTAGAGATCTGTAAGCTAATGAGGAAAGATGAAAACATGACAACATTTGATAAGGTTGTGCATGTAGCCTGTGCCTTGACTAACCTATGTACTTCCATTGTGCCATTTGATTAAATCAGGATGTTGCCAAATTGTTGATCACACTTCTGCACAGGCTGGATGTTGAAGAAAATCGTCAACGTTCATAACAGAAATAATTTGTTCACAACTAAAAAAATGCTGTCCAAGATTGGAAACACAACTTGTGTGCTTCATAATCATTCAAAGTGCATGTTCACAATTGGAACTTGTACGTGCATAATTTTTAGGGGAAATTACAAGCATAATTAGACGAAATAAAAAAAAAACATGTTAAGCGTCCCCGCCCGCTTCCTTTTTGGAGGCCGCCTCCTTTTTTTTTAAACGGAAAAAAATGTTTTATTGTCAACAGTGACATTATTTTGGCCTCTTTATCCGTTGCATGTAGCCCATATAAAGCTGTTACGTCATTTCCTGAGTAAAAAAAACCCAAAAAACAACTGGCAGCCATCTTGAAAAATAGCCCGGTCGGGCAGCCATTTTGGAGGGAGAAAAAAAAGGGCCTCCCTCTTCCTTGTTTTCAAAAAAAGGCAGGACACAGTCACTGAACATGTAGGAAATTTTTTTTGTATGATCATATGGACGTGTCTATGTGTAGTCAAGGGTAAAAGGTAGAAATTGATGGTTTTGGGTGTTTTTGCCTCATTTTTACCATACAAAATTTAGGTAGGGCTGCCAGAATAGGTTGATATAGAAACGGGAAGCAGAACTATTTTCTTTTGTGGCCTTATCCAAATGTGCTCGTCTACATGTATATGTTGTTTGTATTAAGCTCATCCTCATGTGAGAACCAAAATGTTTTTAATACTTTTAGAAGTAAGCATACTTGTATAAAAAAAATATATTTTTAATTCACACAATCATATACATTGAGACCAGAGATCTGAGGGTTTAAAATCTTTTATGGTGCTCTATTATATGTACATAAACATGAAGTCTAAAATTAAAATACTGCAAACTGTTTTCCTGTATATTACACTTACAATCTTATTTGAGATGGAAAACAAATATTTTACATATATTTTCAAAGAATAATTTATTGCGTGTACCGGGATGAACAAGGCTATTTATTAGTATACATGTATCATATTTGTAAATTTATCTTTCCATTTCCCCAGGTTTAGTTAAACTTAAATACATGTAAAGCATAAGCAGGTACATAGAGGATCAAAGAATTTGAAAAGTTTATTTTCACGTAAAAAATAAGTAAAAGTAAAATTAATATATAAAGAGTGATTTCTATTTTTGTTCTTATATATTAGGGTCAGCAATATGAATTTAACATCTAAGAAAATGGAAGTTGGCACTTTGATTAGTCATATCCCAGTACCATAAATATAAAATTGGAACACTGACAGTCAAAACACTGTTAATATATTCATATGCTATTATTGTAGTTAAAAATGTATGATTTCTATTTCACATCTCCTGAAATATATCTTATGCTACATAAAATACTGGACAGTCGCCAATAATAAAATACTGTTAAACACTTGAAATTGCCTACAATTGCCCCTCTTTAATGATTGTTTAATAACTTATATATAACCTAAGGCACCTAAACAGGTTGCAAAAACAAAATTTAGAAATGCTGAGACTTTTCTAAATTGGTCAGCATTTCATGAGAAAAAACTTCCAAATTCACCATTATATTTAGAATTTTCCTATAAGATGGATTTTTTTGCGCCGGGGTGATATAAATCAAATTAGGTTTTGCCCTACACCAACGTAGAATTTTCCTCTTAGGTATTAGCAAGTACCACGATGTACAGACCTGTTTAAGAGTCATTATGCTTTGTTAAGTGTCATTTTAGGTCAGCTGCACCCCTGTTAAACACCATGTCCTTTTCTAAACAAAGCTTTCTCCATTTAATGCAGACATGTACATACCCCCTTGTTTATGGTGCAAATCAAGGATTGTTTTTGTTCCTCGTCCCTTTTCCTTTGTTTGTACTCTAAACTTATTTGCAACAGCTTTCATTGGTTCTGTACACATTTTCCAACCGAGGAGTCCTTGATTCATAGATGATGTTGCACATGTGTGTCCTCGATTGACACCATAAACAAACGCTACCATAACTGCTCGACTATGGGTGTGTACATGTATTTAATGTTTGCACTGCAAAAGCTACTCTATGTAGTTTTAAAACTGATCTTAACAGATTTGAAGCTCTAAATTATGCCCACAGAAATTACTTCGGAAAATAACTTAATGCAGGCTCATTCCCACACCATCCCCTTGATATAAATTCTCCCCTTCATTTTATTGGTTGCCCATTAATATGAATATACTTACTGTTCCTTAACCTTTGCTGTACGTTTTTGTGCAACCTCAATCTTTTTACAATTTGGGCATAAATACCGCTTTGTCTTTGGCAGCACCGTTAATCCAAGACATCTTAAATGAAATACTTTTACTCTGCATTCAGTAGATTGACATTCAATCATACCATGACCAGTGTTTGCCTCACGACAAAAACAACAAACATTTACTTGTGTCTGTGAACTGCACTCAGCAATGGTGTTCCCTTCTCCTACATTAGATGTTGTGTACCACTTACCAAGCAGCTCAGGCAAAATACCCACTTTGAAAAACAGTTTTGCTTTTTCAACATTTTCCTTAAGAAACACATCATTGGGGAATATTCTCTCAATATGTGGAACATCAGGTTTTGTTTGAGACCAAAGAACAAAATCGCAATAGGGTTTGTTCGAAACAAACAACTGGGCTTGAACCTGAAAATAATAAGGATGACTATGCTTGAGGTACAGTTTTCCATCTGAGCTACTCTCAAGAGGGAAGTCCTTCCTTGTCAGGCCTTCACTGATGTTACAGTCCTTTACACAAAAATGGCACTTTACCTCCAGCAGTCCATCTCCACAACAGGTGCAGGTGATGTGTGCATCGGGGGATGCCCCTAGAAAGGGGAGGTCGGGGCAAATGTACAAGCCAACATCTCTGACATGGAGATTGTCATGGTTTGATGACTGACACTTGGTGTAGCTTTCAACTGCATCTTTCTCGTGCTGACAGCCCCAACTGAAAAAAAAAGAGTTTGAATCTATGTTGACATCAATTAACTGTAAAAGTTTAATATTTACTGACTGATCTGATGTAGTCGTTTGGGACATGATCAATGATCACACCCCCCCCCTTCTTTGCCTCCAACCTGAATTTGCCCCCAATCACTTTCACAATTATCAGCTACTTGTACAGTAATGTATTTTTGGTGTCAAAAGATGCGCAAGGCTTGAGGACTCTGAAAGCATAAAACATCTGCTCGATGTCTGCGGTGACTGCAACTGGCTCCTCTCGGAACCTGATCAGGACGCCCAGGAGCTGGTTCATCAGATCAGGTCCACTTAACAAGACATCATTCAGGGAAATGCCTGAGAAGATGGCACTTGAGTCGAACACCACCCTCAGCTTGTCAGGCTTCTGGGGGTGGTATACTCCGAAGTGTGGGAGGTACCAAACTTCTTCACTAGCACTAGTCGCCTCATCCAGAACCTGCTTAGCAAGTCCCTTCTCCAGAACCTTTCTCATGAACTCGATGTAGTGCTGCCTTTTCTTTTCATCCTTAGCCAGGGAGCTGGCCAGGGCTTTCATCCTGGATACCGCTTGGGTCTTGTTGTTTGGCAGTCTTCTTCTATTTTTTCTGAAGGGCAAAGGTGCGCACCAGTTCCCATCTTGATCTTTCTTCATCTTGCCGGCGATCAGCTCCATGAACTCTCTGTCATCGGAGGATGGCCCAAGACGTTCATCAGCACTAGTGCTGATGAACACTTCTTCCCCCAATTCAGCTGCTTTAGGCCTGGTATGAAAGACCTTCACTGCCTTGTCACATGGCTGGAATTGGGCGGAATGGCGACCGTTTCTCAAGACCTGCGTAAAGTAGGTGCTGATTACGTCTTGCTGCAGGTAGGAGATGTCTGTCCGGATGTGGGCACCGTTCAAACAAACCTCGCCGACAACGACCCAGCCTAGATCGAGACGGTGTGCCCATGGCTGGTCATCTTTGCCGTTGATCACCTCTCTCACTTTGTGGAACTGCGGAGCATCTCTGCCAAGTAGCACTGCTATTTCGGCATCTTTGTTCAGGGGTGGTATCATCGGGGCAATTGGCTTTAGGTGATCAAAGGCTGCTGCCACCTCCGGTGTGGGTATCTCCGCCACATCTCCAGGAATGTTGTTGCACTCGAACAGTGTAGGCGTTGGAGCGGAAACTGTGCCGTCCATGCTCTCGATGACTAGGCCAGAAAGTTTTCTACCATGGACTTCCTGGAGGCCATTAACCGTTTTGACAGCATACGTTGACTTATTCTGTTTGACTCCTAATCTCTCAAGAAGATTTTCGTTGATGAGGGAACCATCACTCTGGTCGTCGATGATGACGTATGTGGTGATAACATGGTCCGGCTTCTCTTCCAGGTAGGCTTTTGCCAAACAAATTTTGGCGCATGACCGGCCTTCTTTACCGTTGCCACATACTCTGGTGCATTTAGGTGTGACGATTATCTGGGGCCGGTTGTCATACTTCATGGTAGGGGGTGTCTGATTTGACGCTGGTGGAACTTCTTGACTGGGTGCAGGCCTGTGCATGACTGTGACATGGGACTTGCCACAGATGTCGCATCTCACTGGGGTCTTACAGTTCTTAATGATGTGGTTGGCCCTCAAACATCGGAAACACAGGCGATTCTCTTTCACAAATGATATCTTCTCATCTATGGATTTCTGACAGAAGACCCGGCAATCCTGCAGCTTGTGTGCTGTGTTGTGTACCGGGCAACGGGATGTCTCCTTTGCTGCAGACCCTTCCTCCACCCCAGTCTTTCTTACAGTGAAAGAAGGCCTTGACGAAGAGCGTTCAGCTGCACTCTTGACAGCATCAGTAAACTGGAAGCTCGGGTCGCTTTGCACTCTGGCATGGTGCTGGATGAACTTTACAAATTCCTCAAAAGGCGGGAAGAGGACTGCATGCTTCTTCTTGTATTCTGACCCCTTCTCTCGCCACTTGTTCTGAAGCCACTCTGGCAATTTCTGCACTAGGGGCTGCAATCCTCTCGAGGAATCCAACGCCAGCAACCCTGGAAACTTCTCTGACTCCTTCAGGTATTGGACCTCAAGGAGAAGATATCCGAACTCTTCCAGCTTGGTGCTGCCCTTTGGCGAGATCTTTTGGAACTGCTCTAGTCGGCCTGTGAGATCTCGTTCCACTGCCTCTGGGGAGCCATGTTTTTGCTCCAGATACTCCCAGGTTCGCTTGAGACCCTCTTCTGGTCTGTCAATGTGAATGGAATAGATCCTTTGGACGAACATTTCTGTCTCACCCTCAAGGGAACCCAGGACCAGGTTTAACTCCTCATATGGTTTAAGCTCCAGGTCCTTCGTTGCTTGTTGGAAGCTGCACTTCCAGGCCCGGTAGTTGCCCGCACTGCCTTTGAATTTTCTGATTCCACTCTTTACCAGCTCTTTCTTCACCAACATGTTACTGATGGAGTTGAGACTCTCCTTGATGGGTGGGCTAGGGGGTTCCGGTAGCTTGCCATCTTTGGGGATAGACTGTGACGGCAGTGCAGGCTTGGTTTCAGCATCATCCTTTTTGTCTGGTATCACAGGCTGAACTTCTGGTGGGGACTTTTCTTCGATCTTGATAACTGGTTTTTCTTTTTCAGGCAACTCTGTCTCAGGTTCCTTAAAGTGGTGGGATATATAGTCGCTGGTGCGGACAGCGGAGTCAACGACTGGCAACTGCAAATCTTCTTGGATACTGGCCGAACCTTCCTTCAAGGCGACTGACTCTAAAAATTCTGCTTCTGCTTCTGCCATTGCATACTCCTTTTCTGCACTCAATAGAAGAAGAGCATTGGCGACGTCTTGTTCTTGCCGACGAAGACCTGCCTCTTTCTGGGTGAATTCTACCTTTGCTTTCAAGGACTTGGCTTTAGCACGAGCCAGAATGGCTGCTGAGCTCATGTTTGACTTCAGGGAACTTCTGCTGGTTTTGTGTGATGCCCGTGTTCGTTGAGAACTGGCACTGTTTGCGTCGTCTGAGTCAAGTACTTCGATCATCTTGAATAGTTCTTTTTACTATGACGAACATGGAGCGCCGAGGGCGCCCTCTCTCCGACAAGTTAACCTCTGACTAATACAGGATTTGTGAACTTTGACTGCTTTATTCTCATTCCTGTGTCGTGGGTGGACCACATGAGGTAAAACTGAAAAACAAGAAATACAAGGAAAATACACTAAGTACAATTAACAATGTGCACAAATTTACACAGGTTGGCAAGAGATTTAACACTACCAGACATAAAAATATAAATGAAATATTGACAGATCAAAAAGTAATATGTCAAACTGATACATGTATAAGAAACATCACAAAAATAAGAGCATAAAATAATCTCAAAAACTCCAAGGGATAGTACATTCACATTAGATAATCTATGGAAATTAACCTACAGAACTGTGCTCTCCAAAAGATGAAGTGTCCTCAAACTTCCTACGGGTCTGGAATACTGAAATCACCAACCTAAAACAAAGAAAAATGCATAGTTCCTAAATACACTGTAAACCTTGCAGCACTACTGCAATTTCCAAATAAGGATACGCTAATCCCAAATATGGAATCCAGCTCATGAATATTCATAACATCATGGAAAAAATGGCGAACACATGTGCTTAGGCAGGCCTCGTGTGCACACAAAAACTAAGTTCCTAACCTTATATAACATTCCAAAATCGTCGATATGAAAACATAAAATGACCAAATATCCACTGTTTCTTGACCAGAAAACAATACTGAACATTTCAGTCAGTTCATCTGAGAAACCGGCCTCGATATTGAGGGAAATTCTAAGGCACAAAATCAGGGAAAGTTTTCGCAAGGCACAAGAAAATTATCGATGCGATACAGAAAATCATGGTGGCAAAATGTGACTGAAAATTACGATACAAATTACTCATCAAATAACAATCAATAATCACTGACACAAGTATAAATGGAATCTTAAACTCACCAGTGGTCTTCTGGTGTAAGGCTATCGGAATAGAGTGGTCTCAAAAAGATGGAAAAATGGGCACAAAAATGGACTAAAACTTGGCGTGACTGAACAATTGTGTAACTTGAGCGAAAAACTACGATGACCACGAGAGGGCGCAATACTACGATATCGCAACTCACACTGCCAGGGGTGAACATAACACTCCCCCCGTGGTGATACCATCATCACAATGTGAATACAATACAATACATGTAATAAGGTTACACTAAAACAGTAAAAACGGTTAATAACAAGCAGAACTGCAGTAAATTTGAAAACAGCGAGTAAACACTTTAAACGCGGTGCCTACATGTCTAAGCAGCATCTGGTAGAGTCCAAGCTTCATGATTTCCGCTGGACCATGGTGATCAGTCACTCCGAGGGAATCAGAAGAACCAAGTCGCTTATTGGCCGCAACAACGTCTTCTTCGTCAACTCACGGGCTGGTTGTAGAAACAGGCTCCTCTGGTCCGCGGCTACCATCTCCACGCTGGCTTTCCTGATGTGCCTCTGGCCATCAAGAACCCAGTAGCCTTCGTTCCTTATTGTACCCAAGGTAATGTGTCGACCTTGGTGGCTGCACTGCTGATGGAAGTGCTTGATGATGAGCTTTGTGACATAGTTGTTGTTTTTTGGTAGTACAGCTGGGTGTGTTGCTCTCTCTGACAGTTGAGCTTTCTGCAATCTGCCTCCGACTCGGAGTACCCTGTTGCTGTCAAGGTAGGGGTTGAGCGAAGCCAGCTTGTTCTTCTTGGTCAACTTCCCACTTCTTAATTCGGCTAACTCGGTAGCAAAGGCTTCACTCTGCACACTCTTTATTATGACGGTCTCGGCTTTGAGACGCTCTCTGATGGACTTCGCCTTCTCACAGACATGCCAACCCTTGCAGTCAAATTCTGCTCTGAATGAGTTGGCAATGTGGATCAAGTTTGTAGTGGCTCTCATTGCTGAATCCCAACTTGAGAATCTGGTGAACCTCTCACTGCCGAAGGATGCATCGGGCAAGACAATCTTGTTGCAGCTTATCTTCTCTGGAGACACTTCTGGGTCATCCTGAAGTATTTCTATCTCTCTCTGCTTGTGGCTCGAGGGCAGGTCCTTTAGCCTCAGGAACTCTGGTCCGGCAATCCACATGGAACCACTTAACTCTGCTGCCAGAATGGACCTCGAAGCTAGGTCAGCTGAGTTTCTCTCTGATGGGACATATGTCCACTGCTCAGGCTCGGAGGTTTTGAGTAACCTGTTTACTCGGTTGCACACATAAGTGCGGAAGCGACGTTTCCTGTTGGTGATGTACCCCAGGACTACTTTGCTATCAGTGTAGAACTTTGATTCGTCAACTTTAATCTGTAGTTCCTGGGTGACGTAGTCTTCCATTTCTGTGGCCAGAACTGATGCACAGAGCTCAAGGCGTGGGATGGTGACGGCTGCCTTAGGTGCGAGCTTTGCTTTACCCATCACCAACTGGACATGGACTTCATCGTTGCTGCCAACCGTCCTCAAGTAGCAGACTGCGCCTATGGCCTTGTTTGAAGAGTCACCAAAGGTATGTAGTTCTCTTCTCACTACTTCCGTGGTTGAGAATGGTGCAAATGAGCGAGGAACTCGCACATCTGTCAAGGCGATCAGGGACTTTCTCCACATCACCCAGTCTTGGAGCAGGTCCTTTGGGAGTGGATCATCCCAGCCACCGCCATCTTGAGTCATCTCTCGCAGCAGCATCTTCCCCTTGATGATCACAGGTGCTGCCAACCCAATCGGGTCAAAGACTCCATTGACTTCCGACAACACTGTCCTCTTGGTACATGCGTTGGCATTCGGTTCTGCTATTTGGAAAGTAAAGGAGTCTGCCTTTAAATCCCAGGATACTCCCAATGTACGCCGTATGGTGCTTTCATCTTTGTTGGAGAGGTCAGCTTCAGCCAGGTTCGGGGCCAACTCGCTAGGCTCAAATGCTGCCAGGACACCAGCATCGCTGGAAGCGAACTTGTGCAGACGGATATTCGCAGTGGACAGGAGATCCTTCGTTCTCTTCAGCACGTCGACTGCCTCTTCCTTGGTTGGAAAAGACTTCAGAAGGTCATCCATGTAGAAATTTCTTTCTATCAGCTCCCTCACATCGGTGCCAAACTCTGCTTCACCTTCTTCAGCGGTCTTTCTTAGGCCACTGATGGCCACAGCTGGGGATGGCTTGTTGCCAAAGACATGCACTGTCATGCAGTAAGTGACAATGGCTGCATTCGGGTTGTTGTCCTCATACCACAGGAAACGTAGGAATCTTGTGTGGTCTTCTCGGACTCTGAAAGCATAAAACATCTGCTCGATGTCTGCGGTGACTGCAACTGGCTCCTCTCGGAACCTGATCAGGACGCCCAGGAGCTGGTTCATCAGATCAGGTCCACTTAACAAGACATCATTCAGGGAAATGCCTGAGAAGATGGCACTTGAGTCGAACACCACCCTCAGCTTGTCAGGCTTCTGGGGGTGGTATACTCCGAAGTGTGGGAGGTACCAAACTTCTTCACTAGCACTAGTCGCCTCATCCAGAACCTGCTTAGCAAGTCCCTTCTCCAGAACCTTTCTCATGAACTCGATGTAGTGCTGCCTTTTCTTTTCATCCTTAGCCAGGGAGCTGGCCAGGGCTTTCATCCTGGATACCGCTTGGGTCTTGTTGTTTGGCAGTCTTCTTCTATTTTTTCTGAAGGGCAAAGGTGCGCACCAGTTCCCATCTTGATCTTTCTTCATCTTGCCGGCGATCAGCTCCATGAACTCTCTGTCATCGGAGGATGGCCCAAGACGTTCATCAGCACTAGTGCTGATGAACACTTCTTCCCCCAATTCAGCTGCTTTAGGCCTGGTATGAAAGACCTTCACTGCCTTGTCACATGGCTGGAATTGGGCGGAATGGCGACCGTTTCTCAAGACCTGCGTAAAGTAGGTGCTGATTACGTCTTGCTGCAGGTAGGAGATGTCTGTCCGGATGTGGGCACCGTTCAAACAAACCTCGCCGACAACGACCCAGCCTAGATCGAGACGGTGTGCCCATGGCTGGTCATCTTTGCCGTTGATCACCTCTCTCACTTTGTGGAACTGCGGAGCATCTCTGCCAAGTAGCACTGCTATTTCGGCATCTTTGTTCAGGGGTGGTATCATCGGGGCAATTGGCTTTAGGTGATCAAAGGCTGCTGCCACCTCCGGTGTGGGTATCTCCGCCACATCTCCAGGAATGTTGTTGCACTCGAACAGTGTAGGCGTTGGAGCGGAAACTGTGCCGTCCATGCTCTCGATGACTAGGCCAGAAAGTTTTCTACCATGGACTTCCTGGAGGCCATTAACCGTTTTGACAGCATACGTTGACTTATTCTGTTTGACTCCTAATCTCTCAAGAAGATTTTCGTTGATGAGGGAACCATCACTCTGGTCGTCGATGATGACGTATGTGGTGATAACATGGTCCGGCTTCTCTTCCAGGTAGGCTTTTGCCAAACAAATTTTGGCGCATGACCGGCCTTCTTTACCGTTGCCACATACTCTGGTGCATTTAGGTGTGACGATTATCTGGGGCCGGTTGTCATACTTCATGGTAGGGGGTGTCTGATTTGACGCTGGTGGAACTTCTTGACTGGGTGCAGGCCTGTGCATGACTGTGACATGGGACTTGCCACAGATGTCGCATCTCACTGGGGTCTTACAGTTCTTAATGATGTGGTTGGCCCTCAAACATCGGAAACACAGGCGATTCTCTTTCACAAATGATATCTTCTCATCTATGGATTTCTGACAGAAGACCCGGCAATCCTGCAGCTTGTGTGCTGTGTTGTGTACCGGGCAACGGGATGTCTCCTTTGCTGCAGACCCTTCCTCCACCCCAGTCTTTCTTACAGTGAAAGAAGGCCTTGACGAAGAGCGTTCAGCTGCACTCTTGACAGCATCAGTAAACTGGAAGCTCGGGTCGCTTTGCACTCTGGCATGGTGCTGGATGAACTTTACAAATTCCTCAAAAGGCGGGAAGAGGACTGCATGCTTCTTCTTGTATTCTGACCCCTTCTCTCGCCACTTGTTCTGAAGCCACTCTGGCAATTTCTGCACTAGGGGCTGCAATCCTCTCGAGGAATCCAACGCCAGCAACCCTGGAAACTTCTCTGACTCCTTCAGGTATTGGACCTCAAGGAGAAGATATCCGAACTCTTCCAGCTTGGTGCTGCCCTTTGGCGAGATCTTTTGGAACTGCTCTAGTCGGCCTGTGAGATCTCGTTCCACTGCCTCTGGGGAGCCATGTTTTTGCTCCAGATACTCCCAGGTTCGCTTGAGACCCTCTTCTGGTCTGTCAATGTGAATGGAATAGATCCTTTGGACGAACATTTCTGTCTCACCCTCAAGGGAACCCAGGACCAGGTTTAACTCCTCATATGGTTTAAGCTCCAGGTCCTTCGTTGCTTGTTGGAAGCTGCACTTCCAGGCCCGGTAGTTGCCCGCACTGCCTTTGAATTTTCTGATTCCACTCTTTACCAGCTCTTTCTTCACCAACATGTTACTGATGGAGTTGAGACTCTCCTTGATGGGTGGGCTAGGGGGTTCCGGTAGCTTGCCATCTTTGGGGATAGACTGTGACGGCAGTGCAGGCTTGGTTTCAGCATCATCCTTTTTGTCTGGTATCACAGGCTGAACTTCTGGTGGGGACTTTTCTTCGATCTTGATAACTGGTTTTTCTTTTTCAGGCAACTCTGTCTCAGGTTCCTTAAAGTGGTGGGATATATAGTCGCTGGTGCGGACAGCGGAGTCAACGACTGGCAACTGCAAATCTTCTTGGATACTGGCCGAACCTTCCTTCAAGGCGACTGACTCTAAAAATTCTGCTTCTGCTTCTGCCATTGCATACTCCTTTTCTGCACTCAATAGAAGAAGAGCATTGGCGACGTCTTGTTCTTGCCGACGAAGACCTGCCTCTTTCTGGGTGAATTCTACCTTTGCTTTCAAGGACTTGGCTTTAGCACGAGCCAGAATGGCTGCTGAGCTCATGTTTGACTTCAGGGAACTTCTGCTGGTTTTGTGTGATGCCCGTGTTCGTTGAGAACTGGCACTGTTTGCGTCGTCTGAGTCAAGTACTTCGATCATCTTGAATAGTTCTTTTTACTATGACGAACATGGAGCGCCGAGGGCGCCCTCTCTCCGACAAGTTAACCTCTGACTAATACAGGATTTGTGAACTTTGACTGCTTTATTCTCATTCCTGTGTCGTGGGTGGACCACATGAGGTAAAACTGAAAAACAAGAAATACAAGGAAAATACACTAAGTACAATTAACAATGTGCACAAATTTACACAGGTTGGCAAGAGATTTAACACTACCAGACATAAAAATATAAATGAAATATTGACAGATCAAAAAGTAATATGTCAAACTGATACATGTATAAGAAACATCACAAAAATAAGAGCATAAAATAATCTCAAAAACTCCAAGGGATAGTACATTCACATTAGATAATCTATGGAAATTAACCTACAGAACTGTGCTCTCCAAAAGATGAAGTGTCCTCAAACTTCCTACGGGTCTGGAATACTGAAATCACCAACCTAAAACAAAGAAAAATGCATAGTTCCTAAATACACTGTAAACCTTGCAGCACTACTGCAATTTCCAAATAAGGATACGCTAATCCCAAATATGGAATCCAGCTCATGAATATTCATAACATCATGGAAAAAATGGCGAACACATGTGCTTAGGCAGGCCTCGTGTGCACACAAAAACTAAGTTCCTAACCTTATATAACATTCCAAAATCGTCGATATGAAAACATAAAATGACCAAATATCCACTGTTTCTTGACCAGAAAACAATACTGAACATTTCAGTCAGTTCATCTGAGAAACCGGCCTCGATATTGAGGGAAATTCTAAGGCACAAAATCAGGGAAAGTTTTCGCAAGGCACAAGAAAATTATCGATGCGATACAGAAAATCATGGTGGCAAAATGTGACTGAAAATTACGATACAAATTACTCATCAAATAACAATCAATAATCACTGACACAAGTATAAATGGAATCTTAAACTCACCAGTGGTCTTCTGGTGTAAGGCTATCGGAATAGAGTGGTCTCAAAAAGATGGAAAAATGGGCACAAAAATGGACTAAAACTTGGCGTGACTGAACAATTGTGTAACTTGAGCGAAAAACTACGATGGCCACGAGAGGGCGCAATACTACGATATCGCAACTCACACTGCCAGGGGTGAACATAACACTCCCCCCGTGGTGATACCATCATCACAATGTGAATACAATACAATACATGTAATAAGGTTACACTAAAACAGTAAAAACGGTTAATAACAAGCAGAACTGCAGTAAATTTGAAAACAGCGAGTAAACACTTTAAACGCGGTGCCTACATGTCTAAGCAGCATCTGGTAGAGTCCAAGCTTCATGATTTCCGCTGGACCATGGTGATCAGTCACTCCGAGGGAATCAGAAGAACCAAGTCGCTTATTGGCCGCAACAACGTCTTCTTCGTCAACTCACGGGCTGGTTGTAGAAACAGGCTCCTCTGGTCCGCGGCTACCATCTCCACGCTGGCTTTCCTGATGTGCCTCTGGCCATCAAGAACCCAGTAGCCTTCGTTCCTTATTGTACCCAAGGTAATGTGTCGACCTTGGTGGCTGCACTGCTGATGGAAGTGCTTGATGATGAGCTTTGTGACATAGTTGTTGTTTTTTGGTAGTACAGCTGGGTGTGTTGCTCTCTCTGACAGTTGAGCTTTCTGCAATCTGCCTCCGACTCGGAGTACCCTGTTGCTGTCAAGGTAGGGGTTGAGCGAAGCCAGCTTGTTCTTCTTGGTCAACTTCCCACTTCTTAATTCGGCTAACTCGGTAGCAAAGGCTTCACTCTGCACACTCTTTATTATGACGGTCTCGGCTTTGAGACGCTCTCTGATGGACTTCGCCTTCTCACAGACATGCCAACCCTTGCAGTCAAATTCTGCTCTGAATGAGTTGGCAATGTGGATCAAGTTTGTAGTGGCTCTCATTGCTGAATCCCAACTTGAGAATCTGGTGAACCTCTCACTGCCGAAGGATGCATCGGGCAAGACAATCTTGTTGCAGCTTATCTTCTCTGGAGACACTTCTGGGTCATCCTGAAGTATTTCTATCTCTCTCTGCTTGTGGCTCGAGGGCAGGTCCTTTAGCCTCAGGAACTCTGGTCCGGCAATCCACATGGAACCACTTAACTCTGCTGCCAGAATGGACCTCGAAGCTAGGTCAGCTGAGTTTCTCTCTGATGGGACATATGTCCACTGCTCAGGCTCGGAGGTTTTGAGTAACCTGTTTACTCGGTTGCACACATAAGTGCGGAAGCGACGTTTCCTGTTGGTGATGTACCCCAGGACTACTTTGCTATCAGTGTAGAACTTTGATTCGTCAACTTTAATCTGTAGTTCCTGGGTGACGTAGTCTTCCATTTCTGTGGCCAGAACTGATGCACAGAGCTCAAGGCGTGGGATGGTGACGGCTGCCTTAGGTGCGAGCTTTGCTTTACCCATCACCAACTGGACATGGACTTCATCGTTGCTGCCAACCGTCCTCAAGTAGCAGACTGCGCCTATGGCCTTGTTTGAAGAGTCACCAAAGGTATGTAGTTCTCTTCTCACTACTTCCGTGGTTGAGAATGGTGCAAATGAGCGAGGAACTCGCACATCTGTCAAGGCGATCAGGGACTTTCTCCACATCACCCAGTCTTGGAGCAGGTCCTTTGGGAGTGGATCATCCCAGCCACCGCCATCTTGAGTCATCTCTCGCAGCAGCATCTTCCCCTTGATGATCACAGGTGCTGCCAACCCAATCGGGTCAAAGACTCCATTGACTTCCGACAACACTGTCCTCTTGGTACATGCGTTGGCATTCGGTTCTGCTATTTGGAAAGTAAAGGAGTCTGCCTTTAAATCCCAGGATACTCCCAATGTACGCCGTATGGTGCTTTCATCTTTGTTGGAGAGGTCAGCTTCAGCCAGGTTCGGGGCCAACTCGCTAGGCTCAAATGCTGCCAGGACACCAGCATCGCTGGAAGCGAACTTGTGCAGACAGATATTCGCAGTGGACAGGAGATCCTTCGTTCTCTTCAGCACGTCGACTGCCTCTTCCTTGGTTGGAAAAGACTTCCGGTAGCTTGCCATCTTTGGGGATAGACTGTGACGGCAGTGCAGGCTTGGTTTCAGCATCATCCTTTTTGTCTGGTATCACAGGCTGAACTTCTGGTGGGGACTTTTCTTCGATCTTGATAACTGGTTTTTCTTTTTCAGGCAACTCTGTCTCAGGTTCCTTAAAGTGGTGGGATATATAGTCGCTGGTGCGGACAGCGGAGTCAACGACTGGCAACTGCAAATCTTCTTGGATACTGGCCGAACCTTCCTTCAAGGCGACTGACTCTAAAAATTCTGCTTCTGCTTCTGCCATTGCATACTCCTTTTCTGCACTCAATAGAAGAAGAGCATTGGCGACGTCTTGTTCTTGCCGACGAAGACCTGCCTCTTTCTGGGTGAATTCTACCTTTGCTTTCAAGGACTTGGCTTTAGCACGAGCCAGAATGGCTGCTGAGCTCATGTTTGACTTCAGGGAACTTCTGCTGGTTTTGTGTGATGCCCGTGTTCGTTGAGAACTGGCACTGTTTGCGTCGTCTGAGTCAAGTACTTCGATCATCTTGAATAGTTCTTTTTACTATGACGAACATGGAGCGCCGAGGGCGCCCTCTCTCCGACAAGTTAACCTCTGACTAATACAGGATTTGTGAACTTTGACTGCTTTATTCTCATTCCTGTGTCGTGGGTGGACCACATGAGGTAAAACTGAAAAACAAGAAATACAAGGAAAATACACTAAGTACAATTAACAATGTGCACAAATTTACACAGGTTGGCAAGAGATTTAACACTACCAGACATAAAAATATAAATGAAATATTGACAGATCAAAAAGTAATATGTCAAACTGATACATGTATAAGAAACATCACAAAAATAAGAGCATAAAATAATCTCAAAAACTCCAAGGGATAGTACATTCACATTAGATAATCTATGGAAATTAACCTACAGAACTGTGCTCTCCAAAAGATGAAGTGTCCTCAAACTTCCTACGGGTCTGGAATACTGAAATCACCAACCTAAAACAAAGAAAAATGCATAGTTCCTAAATACACTGTAAACCTTGCAGCACTACTGCAATTTCCAAATAAGGATACGCTAATCCCAAATATGGAATCCAGCTCATGAATATTCATAACATCATGGAAAAAATGGCGAACACATGTGCTTAGGCAGGCCTCGTGTGCACACAAAAACTAAGTTCCTAACCTTATATAACATTCCAAAATCGTCGATATGAAAACATAAAATGACCAAATATCCACTGTTTCTTGACCAGAAAACAATACTGAACATTTCAGTCAGTTCATCTGAGAAACCGGCCTCGATATTGAGGGAAATTCTAAGGCACAAAATCAGGGAAAGTTTTCGCAAGGCACAAGAAAATTATCGATGCGATACAGAAAATCATGGTGGCAAAATGTGACTGAAAATTACGATACAAATTACTCATCAAATAACAATCAATAATCACTGACACAAGTATAAATGGAATCTTAAACTCACCAGTGGTCTTCTGGTGTAAGGCTATCGGAATAGAGTGGTCTCAAAAAGATGGAAAAATGGGCACAAAAATGGACTAAAACTTGGCGTGACTGAACAATTGTGTAACTTGAGCGAAAAACTACGATGACCACGAGAGGGCGCAATACTACGATATCGCAACTCACACTGCCAGGGGTGAACATAACAAGGCTAAAAAGTCACAAAAGCTCCGGTCCCGAAATTTTTTTTCTCGAGGCTAGCGCGGAAACAGTTGAGGGGGGGGGGGGGCAGATTCTGCCCCCCCCCCGGCCCCTTTAGGGTTAAGTCATCATTTAATAGTGAGCACAGAAGGACCACTCACACTTACTATAACATACAAACTTTAAAAGTTGTAAACTTACCGAGTTGCAGCAGTACTGAAGCTGTATGCAGCTGGATAACAGATTGATTTGATCAAATACGCTGATGGCATGGCAGGGTCTGTACACACTACTGATTTGAACTTAGATGCAGTTATTCGACCAGCTCGGTAGATATGCCACATCTTGCTCTTTGCCTGCTGACGGGTTAGCTCCTCAATTGCATTAAACTGAAAATGATGAAATATATAAATAAGGATCTTTTTCTCTTGTTATCAGGGGTCGCCCCCAAAATCTCTTGATGTGCCAAAGGTCATCATTATTAGTTTATCATGTCAATTGATTGAACCATCCTATGCAAACATACATTCTGTGCCAAGTTGTTCTTGCAGTCAAAATCAATAAAGTGACTGTTTTCAACAGTTAAGAGCTCCCACTGACTAGCTGTGACTGTTTATGTAGCATGATACAGCTGTGATTTGACTAGACTGAAGGTGATTGATAAGAAAACTGTGCCACCAGTTTCCTGTTGTCGTTTGTTGACTGAATTTGATTAGTCAAAGTGCTTACTAAAAAATTATGATCTGACTGTGACTTGCCTGTGTAAAAGGCATAGCAGCGGAAGTGTCTGGAAATTTTGACTATGAGGGTTAATGCTTTAATTGTGTCTCTGACACTACCACAAAAGGCTCAGTGTTGTGTTTACTAAACTTTGCACAAGCCAATACAGCAGTGTACATGTGCATGTACATGTACTTACCATGTCCACATCCATTGTCATGTTGTTGAAAACAGCTTGACATTTGGTGAGTAGTTGGGGATACGACACCTTGAGGTTTTCTGCACAGTAGAGTTTTGTCAGTGGCTCAGGAAGTTTCAATTGCAGAGCTTTTGGGATGAAATCTGCAGCATATGCAGGCACAAGTGACAGTATTGCAGATGGTACACCTGTCCCTTTAAGCTGTTGGAAAAAGTTGTCTGTTTCGTCTTTAGATGGCGGGGGTACAGACCTAGATTTGCAGGAGCTCTTTGGCAAAGTGGTTGGGGCTTCAGTCATTCTCCTTTTGGGTTTGCTGAAGTTGATGTTGCTTGCTTCCGCATACATGTCGTCACCGCTAGATCTACTCTTTGCTGGCTTAATCCACGTACATGGTTTGGATGTGCAAGTAGTTGTGCTCATTTCCACACCTTTTGACACAGCAAACAGAGTTGCCGCTACATGAGAGCATACCTCCGTTACTCCTGCCATGCATGTGCAATGCGCAGTGATCACAACTCCATCCTCTTGGATAGCCACCCATACCTTGACAGGGGGGTCATTGAGTCTCTGTGAATGGTGTACCTGGGCAGAAAAAAAGAAACATTCAAATTAGGACATACATGTATTAGGTTTTCCTTTTGACTACTAGAATTAGAAAAAAAACCTATGCCTTATTTGGAATTTTGATCATCTCAGCTCCTTGGAAGAATATAGAGCTAGGGGTAGATGCAGACTTACATTGTACATGTGTAGCCAAACGCTACTGGGGCATGTGGAACCGGGTCCCCATAGTATCCGACTGTTGATGTCATCATAAGTTTGTAAAAATGAAGTGGCTACATGTATTGTTACAAATGTAGGTTAGCCGTAACGCGACTTTCAACGCTATTGTAACAGAACTATGTATCTTTGGCTGTTGAAACCAAACTGATCAAACAAATGTTTCTCCAACTTCATTTCCCAACACCACTCACTTCTAAGAAAAAATGAGGTCTACTTAAATAAAGGAAGAGTTTGATTAAAAACCTAAAAAGTTATAAAACCAAATCAATTTATAAAAAGAATAGTAAACAGAAGCGCGGCATGGGTTTTGAACCTGGATTCCCGACTCATTAATCTAACGTGAAACCAACTAATCAAGCTTTTAAAACATTCTGATTCATTGTGCAGTTACATGTATAAATCTATTCTAATATACACTCGCATTGTGTTTTTACAGTCAATGCCATAGTTTGAAAATTGTGTTTACAGCTGTCATTTACTATAGCCACTGTAGCGTAGGGCCTACATTCACATTCAGTGACATTGTAGAAATAAAAGTAGGCCTAGTCCACTCACTGGCACTCGGATACATATTTTATATTACTTATAATATAGCTTGAGTAACTCCAGCTGACATGCTCATATTCATTCACATGTAGCTAACTCCAGCTGACATGCTCATATTCATTCACATGTTCATGTAGCTAACTCCAGCTGACATGCTCATATTCATTCACATGTAGCTAACTCCAGCTGACATGCTCATATTCATTCACATGTAGCTAACTCCAGCTGACATGCTCATATTCATTCACATGTTCATGTAGCTAACTCCAGCTGACATGCTCATATTCATTCACATGTAGCTAGGCTACATGTGAATGAATATGAGCATGTCAGCTTGAGTTACTCAAGCTAATTTTATATAGGTCTACAACGATAAAACAACAGTCAATTGTTAAAGATTGACCCAGATTAGTGAAGATAAAATTAAAAATCACGACTCACCTTTGACAAAATCACAAAAACAGAGGTAGTTGGATCACGTTTCATTGGCTGGTGCCACACAAGTAAGTGATTTACTTTACCAGCAATGAAATACTTGTATCCGTCTAGACTTTTGTAAGCCTTCATGGCTTCCCCCGTGTAAGACGAAGGGAAGTTTATGAGGTACATATAAATATCTGGAAATTCTAGCTTTGGTAGCAAGTTGGATTTCAACAACGGTGTGCAGCATGATGCGGGGATGAGGTATGGATCGCATGTTCCAATGTTCCCCAGCTTGTTCACGTATCTCTCCTTGTCAGGCAAAGGAAGTTGTTCCACGTTTTCCGACAAAGAACTAGGTGGCCCAGAACTTGAACTGGCACTGGATAACTGACCATCGACCACGGCATCCATGCTGCAAGTGCAAGTGGTCAATATGATTGATTCGCGACACAAATTGGCACGTCGTACGGTACGATTCTTCTACGAGTACGAACAAGCATCGGACGTGATGTGTATCGTGCGTGCGCGATATGCTAGCAGACGATAATTTGACTCCCAAAATGGCGCCATCAAGATTTTGTGTAAAATGATGACGTCATGTGCATTGGGTTTATACGCCGTGTGTGTCAGTACAAGTCTTCCATCGCCTGATCGCGCGCGCGCTCGCGGAGTTGTTACTTTTGTAACAACACAGTGGTGGAGCGTAGCAAAATGATGTTTGCCGTATTTTATGGCGGCCAAAGGACTGATGAGTAAACAAATTTGTTTGGTCCTTGGTACGGGGTCTTAGTTTACCAACTTCATTGAATGACCGATCAAAATGAACCTTACAAAATCCTCTTTACAGTGCCAAGTGTGCATTTATTACTTGAAGTAACGGAGCGTCATGAATCCGGGAACTTTCAGTGCATTGCGCACACTGCGGTAGCCCGCCGGTCACACTGTCAATTACGTGCAAATCTCCGTAACTCATTCTGCTGTTAGTCAAAATGTTCGTGTTGTCACAAGTAGGAAAATGTACCAGGTACGAATGTATGGTTGTTCATTTTGTAAAACTTTTCCTCCAGAATGTTTAAGTAATATATCTTGAAGTTTAAACTCGGTGTGCATTAATCTGAAAGTCTTGGAAACAGCCACGAGGCCGTCTTTTTCTTTGCTTTGTGTAGAATCGCTATGGAGTAGAGCGCGTCGTGTTCATACCACTACATGTACACGCGCGTGGTTGTCTATGGAAGATGCGACTTAACTGTTTGTAAAATTTTCTGATGTCGTGCAGACTGCAGATGTGCTGGTATGATGAGAATTCAAACCTACATGACTCACTAGGAGCATTGCGCCTGACCAGCCACATGACAGGCTCTGGACCAATAGGAATGAGTAAATTGTTATAGGTGTTTATGAATGGAAAAAATATATACATTACCGATTTTAATTTCACTTGAGAAATTTTAGAAAAAGTGCTTGGTTAGCCAGTATTTATGTTAACCCCACAGAAAACATTTGAAAAAAAAATGGATAAAAAGAAAAAGTCCACCTGACCATGGTAACTTCAACACTTACTCGCCTATCAATAACCCCCCCCCCCCCTCCATCCTGGGCCATTCCACCTCTAAGTAGAGACTTTCTTTTTTGAAGTAACAAAATCCCCATCCCGGGGAAGAAATTCCAGCCTTTAATAGATGAGGATATCTGCACCTTACAGGCTGGGAATTAGCCTGGGCACTTTTACATGTCTTATTAGGCGGGGTCACCGGCGGGGGGGGGGGGGGGACCAGAGGGGGCAGTTGCCCCCCCCCCTCCCCCCCCCCACTTTTGATGAGGTAGCTATTTTGCCCCCCCCCCTCCCAGTTTTTACCAGGAGCGATTTTAAAAAACGAGGTTAATTAAAATGATACAAGAGGTAAAAAAGATTTTTGAACACGCGTCTCATTTTAATATCGGGCCCTATTAATAGTATTATGTACTACAATGTATCTTTTGCTCAGAAAATATTGGTTAAAGTGGTCAGAAATTGCCTCAGATCGCACCACAGAGCATCTAGAATTCACATTTTTTTCGGGGCCCTTAAGCGGGCCCCGAACAGGGTAAGCCTTAATGATTTTTTTTTGTATAGCAAAACTGCTATGCAAATTTTGAATTGCATAGCAGTTTACCAATTTTGCATAGCAGTTTTGTTATACTCAAATTTAGCCTCAGCTTTGCAATTACTATTTACCTGTCAGTGTCAGACTGTACAAATTACAAAGCAATAAAGAAGTAACTTACGTTAAGCTGTTAACTTAATGACTCATCAGTTGTCTGTTTATTTCAGGAACTGCATGCTTGCTAGAATAACTTTCGAGTAAAAAAGCAAGTTAAAAAATTATAACAATTTACTTCAGACTCAGGCCCTGAGCCTCAGCACAACAGTAGGATTTTATTAATCATTATCTCTTAGTGATCTCTTAGTGGTCTTTGTCTCTTTGACTCTTCCTCTTTTTCTCTAGACTCTAATGATCTATCTAAATCATTGTAAAGTTTCCAACTCTGAGTAATAGGTAAGGTAACCTAAGACTGCAATTCTACAAGACTGAGACTACAAGTTGAAGTTGCAAATAATTGAACTAAGTCAACTTTCAATCATAACACAACAAGATCCAACAACTATTAATAACTCTATGTCAACTTTGGACCAAATTATGAATAATATGATCATTGATCACACAACAATTGAGTCAGTCACCAGGACTGAACACTGAACAGTTACAGAAGGGAGTATGAGTGATTGAGTGTTGATCATATCACTACTTATAAAGTCTCTTAATCCTAATCCATCAGTTCAGTCAGCATCACTGTGGCAATTTCCATGATGCCATTTCAATTTGACAATTTAAAGCTAAGACTAAAAGGTGATACTGATACTGAAGCGATTATATGATCTATCATCTTATTCTTGTGTGTCTATAATCATAACATCTCTGCCTGTGCTTGGACCTGGTTGTTGTTCTGCTAATCTGCTTGACCTGGGCGCCGACTGCATCTATTGAGGAAACAGGTTGCCGCACTTGATGAATCAAACATATGCTCTGGGGGGCCACTTAGTGTGATACGCATAAGTTAATCTAGGGTGTCAGTTGCCAGCTTATTTCTGTAATCACTCTTAACCCTGTTCATGGCAGAGAAGCCCCGCTCCACGATGGCATTCGATGCTGCAAAAATAAATAAAGGATCAAATCAAATTTCATGTGATGCCCAGCTCAGTGTCATTGTGTTTAACAGTTGTAAGTTCTTTATAACTTGTAATGAAGTTTGAAATTTTGAGTCATTTGATTTTAGTCTTTGTAGATTAGCAAAACAAACACAATTACTGGTGCTACTTTTAGTGTAATGGATAACCTGAGTGTAATGATATTACAGTTTGAACTTGAACCTCTAGGCTAGTAACAAATTATGAAGAAATATAAAATTGTTTACCTGGCACAAGGAGCATCACTCTAATCATATGACAGAGGTTTGGGTAAGTCGCGTGGAAGCTCACAAGTAGCCTTCTCCATATCTCACTGCTGCAGTTCAGGTGTTGCAAACGGGATTTCCACAGTAGTTTCCAGCTTTCCCATTCATGGAAGAGTTCATCAGTGTTGCAACCTATAGGATTGTGGTAGGTGGGTAAGGGTAAGAAACAAGAAGGATAGAAGGTATTTTCTAAAGCTACAAATGCAAATAAACAATACTGTTAGTGTTATTAATCATTTTGTAATTTTTGTTTAATAAGTCATTTACAGATAAATAATTACCTTGTTGGGTGACCAGTTGTCCAAAGTGATCAATGAAAGACTGCACCAAAGGTCTTCCAAATCTAACAAGAGCCTCACGATCAGTTGGCCACGCTAGAGTATCTAGAATCTTGAGACTTGAATACTGTGCCTCCTCGTGACATTTGCCAAGCCTTATGTGGACGTTTTTTTTCACGTTAGTGATTAGAGTTGTTGATATGGTGTCAACATCGGATGCTGATAGTGCTTGACCTTTGAGATGAACATCCTTGAAGCTCACTCCACTGTCCGTTGCCATAAGATCATGCAGAATCTTTTTGAAATCTGCCACCATATAGTCTTTGGTCAGAGCTGGTCTCTTTGCTGCTGGCTCATCATCACTCTCATTCAGACTTCGACCATCTTCATCCACACCTGTTGAGATAACATCCTCATGATCCTCAGGTTCTCGCAAAGCTCTGAGAGCAGAGAGGAGATCATTGATCCTTTGGAAGAAGGTTGTCAGGTAGGTCAGGGCCACATTAAAGTGTGTAATATCCTTCTGCAGAGCAAGTGACAGGTTTGCCAGGGGAGTGATCAATGACTTAAGCAACAGCAAATGAAATACAAAACGAACAGACTTCAGCTTGTTGAGATAGCCATTCAGTTTCGCCATCTCTGCAGCTGGCTCATTACTGGCTACTTCATTCTCAAGAGAGGCAATTATCACAGCATATGAGTTGATGAGGGCTGCCACTGCTCTGCTCTTGAATTGCACCCATCTGGTTCCATTAGCTTTCACTGGCTTCAGCAAATCTTCTTTCATAATTTTGGCCAACTGAAATAAAAACAAAATATGATTATATTACATGTATGTCAATTTATGTGCAATACAGAAACAGTGCAATAATGTTATTCATTTCATTTTCATACCAAGTGTGCAATATAATAGTTAAATAATAATAAAAAATGAGTATGTTGTAATAAGTTTACTACATGTACATGTTAAGACAAATCACCAAAGTTCAACCTCACCTCTTCAAGTTTTCCCATACGTTTTGGACTTCTTGAGTAGAGGGCATACAAGGAGTTCAACATGGGTCATTCCGCCAGGTTGGGTCAATAAGTGTGACACACATAACAAAATTTCAAAGTGCAGCTTTTCAAATTTTAAGCAAATATTAAAAGTCCACAAATATTCACCATTCATAATTTCTTAAACTTTTTATTGCAGCATGTGCATGGAAAATGCAGTAATCTATTACAATAACAGTGTGCACTTTCCAAATACCCATGTAACAAGGACACCATTCTAACACCACTATAGTTCTAGCAAGGTATAGGTCACAGATAAAGTTTCCCAATGGCTCATTTTATTTGTTGTTTTGGTAATCAATAACATTTCACGCATAAACATTGCAGCCAAGATGGAAATTCTTACATTTTAATTATATAAATTCAGTGGGAAAACAATCTACTGTATATGGTGAAGTTAAATGATATGCAAAAAAATACCCTCTCCTTAGCAATATTCCTGTTTTCTCAAGACTCACTCCATGACAGCACTTATTTTGGCTTCTGCAGAGAAGAGCAGAAATGAGCAACACAACTATGAACAATTGTAATGCTGCACGATCAGGAAATGGGTTAAATTTGTTGCTCATATAGATGTTACCCACGTAACAAGGACACCGTATCTCGGTTACATCTTTCATTGCAAGGCTTTAAAGTTTGAGTCAAGAAACTAAATGTTAATATGTTGGATATTCAAATAAAACATGACCACTCAACATGGTGGTTGAAGTATACTTTGCATTCAGTTCTGAATCACTCAGTCTGTGACTTGTCAGGTGTCGACTGCCTTCATCATTGTTTGTAAAGGTAAGATGGTTCACACACAGCGGTTATTTACATGTATGTTTTCCCCAATTTTAAGCACTCTTGTTACAAGTCTAGAAACAATACGATTTCAACTTCTCAAATATTCACCATTCATAATTTTTAAAACTTTTTATTGCAGCATGTGCATGGAAAATGCAGTAATCTATTACAATAACAGTGTGCACTTTCCAAATACCCATGTAACAAGGACACCATTCTAACACCACTATAGTTCTAGCAAGGTATAGGTCACAGATAAAGTTTCCCAATGGCTCATTTTATTTGTTGTTTTGGTAATCAATAACATTTCACGCATAAACATTGCAGCCAAGATGGAAATTCTTACATTTTAATTATATAAATTCAGTGGGAAAACAATCTACTGTATATGGTGAAGTTAAATGATATGCAAAAAAATCCCTCTCCTTAGCAATATTCCTGTTTTCTCAAGACTCACTCCATGACAGCACTTATTTTGGCTTCTGCAGAGAAGAGCAGAAATGAGCAACACAACTATGAACAATTGTAATGCTGCACGATCAGGAAATGGATTAAATTTGTTGCTCATATAGATGTTACCCACGTAACAAGGACACCGTATCTCTGTTACATCTTTCATTGCAAGGCCTTAAAGTTTGAGTCAAGAAACTAAATGTTAATATGTTGGATATCCAAATAAAACACAACCACTCATAATCGTGTGATTTGTAATATTTTTGTGTTCATGTTGTTCACTTCTTAAAATTAAAAACCATTCTGGAGCCTATCAACACCGGTTCAGGAGCACTGAGCTTCTGTTTGACGTCACAGAGCGGATGATGATAAATATGCTCTTCGCCCAGGGGCCAAGTGTAAAAAGCGCCTTGACGCATATAGGTGAGACGAACACCACAATCTGTCAGGTCAACAATCTGAAATATTTAAAATAAAAAATAAAAACATCATTTCCTGGTTTTAGAAGGGTTGCATGGTTAGGTGAAGTGCTAAGACGGAGATTGATACGTAAATTGAGCTGCGGGGGCCCCATGCTGTCAGTATCTGTAAGGTTCAAATATCGAATATAAGCCAAGGTATCATTGAATTGAACCCCCCCCCCCAAAAAAAAGAAAATTTCACAAATAAAAAATCTTCAAACTAAACAAAAAACTACCAGATTTTAATTAAATACTCCCATTAACAAACCATGCGGTCATGTGATGTGGATGTCCTTTAAAAAAAAATCTAGCTAAGATTATCCTAAGAAATTTTGAAAAAGTGTCCATGCTAAAATCGTGATTTCTCATCAGAATTTCACTTTTTGGTGGTTGATTAGCTGTAAATAAGGAAAATATAGTGGGGGTATTCAAGTAAAATCTTACATTGCTCGCGTCGGTGATGTCGTTTTCGTCCCCAGTGCGTGCTGGTGTGAACGAATGCAGTGCGGTCAATGTGCGTCCGTGATGTTTATATGTGTCTTAGATCCTGACTCTCCACTATCGTTCGAACTGCACTAAACAAGAACCTGCCTATAATTATATGTGTTAACCGGTTCCCGCCTGTACACGGGGAAACTAAACCCATCATTAAGGAACCAGTGTACGTGCATACATCACGTGACACCGAGTCGCCGCTCTCCACTCGTACTCGATGTCGAAACGATCAAATTACATACGTGTCTGTACATGTACGTTCACACCAGTACATGTACGTTCACACCAGCGTGCACTGGGGACATCACCGCATTGCCTTCCCAAACTAGTAAACAGACATCCACAAACTCAAGAAAAGCTCTCGAAAAAGAACGGCAAATATTACTTTTATCTCCGAATCATAACTTAACCTAAGTACCATCATTAATTCTCGATGTGAACTGGATCCCTAAGGGGTCATGTTGGGCAATGTGGGGTTTGTTTTGGGGGTAAAATCTGGCGATTTTCACGGCAAAGGTAGTCTGATGAATTAATTTACAGTCGAACACTGACGTTACTGTCGCCCGAAAAAGGCCACATGAAATGTAAAGAAAAGACGATTTTTAGAGTCCTACTAGTTCCTTGGAGTAGTAATTACTGTAAAACTTAGACGAAACTCAAACAGAACAATATGATACGCTGATATTTTCTGCTAGAAACCAGTTATTTACTCACCAATCCACAATTCAAAAGCGGCCAAAAAATTTCCGCGTCGTCGTTGCAATTTGGCGAAGCGCGCGAAACCGACGCAACCGGACAGCAGTCACATTTCACCCTACACATGTAGCATGCTAGCCCGTAATAGTATCCATGTGACCTACTCAACGTCATATGGAAAGGGTATACATTTTGGGCCAGAACCATCTTCCAAAGCGGGGGATTAGGAAAAAATAGGCGGTCACATCTGACCCACGCAACGCAAATCACGCAGGACACCGGACTTGCGTTGAACTTTTTAAATCAAGTATCTTCGTAAACTCGCTGCATATTTTATGGCTTTTATCACTTGTTTTTAAAAATGTATCCCAGCATTTCTACCTGTTACAAAATGAAAACTAGTAACATTATCGGAATGTTAGTAAATAAAAGCAAACTACCCATGCAACACGAGCGGCATAGGAAGACACCACGCGTTACGTCGGTACGTACAAATTTAACTTCTTGTGTTTTACCAATGCAATGGTTCTGCACAAAATAAATAATTTTGTGGGAAAGCTTCACTCTAGTTGAATAAGCACCGGTAGCATGTTCATCAAAATGAGAAAATTATATCTGTTTTTAAAGGTATATTCAAATCGTTTATACAATATAAAGCTGGGGGTGGGTAAAAGTACTGAGGACACCACAGAAATACAAATGGTACAAATCATCAACATTCACAAAGATTTTTTTGAAAAATTGCTGGGAGTTTATTATTGACTTTTCAATTCAAATATATTTTACAAATGAAAACATTAGTGCCACACTACATAAGCAAAAATTAACTTTGAACACATTCATATGTGCAAATTACTCAAATGACCCAACCTGGTGGAATGACCCACATAGTAATGACTTCTTCCATACTGGCTCCCTTAAAAGCATCCTTGGCAGCTAATTCCAAGCGGTGGTTCATGCAATGGATAACTAAGAGGTCTGGATACTCTTGACGAAGGCGGCTTGGTCACGAAATTCCCATTTCTTTCAAATCGTAGCCATTCCTGGCCCGGGTCTAGATCCGCCTGCCAATTATTGCCAGTATTTGCCTTGATAACGGTAGTTTTCGTAGTAGTAGCCATGTTTTCATCAATATGCTACACATACAGCGCACAAACGTCAACGCAGCTGGGATTTTGACGTTTTAGTTCCCACGAAAATCCCTCGTGCGTATCTAGTGATTTACTTGAAGGGGGTAAACCCGTTTTCCGTGTAGGCAAAATGTTTAAGATAAGCCGACAAATATCTAAAGAATAGTGATGAGAATGTTTAAACTATGTAAATTAATTATCATCTATGAAATAAACCCATTAGGAATTCAAAACAAATGTATTTAAACCATTAAAATACTCGCTAATAGTCGCTGGACTCTCATAATGAATGACCCTCACCCCTAATCATCAGAATGAAACAGTCCAATTAGTGAGGTCACACTAGGGTCAAAGTATTATCTACGAGTGGATTCATTGGCTCATTCTGTGACCTTTAGGCTGCACGGCCGAATCAGTTGTCTAGAGCTAGGTCTAGGTCTGCGCCCATTGAAAATACGCAGGGACGCGCTGACAATAGACGTAGCCGTAGCTCTGGAAGCCCGTTTCGGACACGGCCTACGGTACATGTACTGCATACACACACACGTACATGTACACACATACGCGTTTCGCAATTATCTGCGAGGACACTGGAAATATACTTCTGTCTGAGGACATGCCCTTGAGGGCGTTTTATTTGAACAATATAGCATATCTACTGAGAAATTGAACTTAACATCGTTTTTTTTTAATTGCCTTTTAAGAATTTTATTTTTTCATCGACTTGAATTGAACTATACAACCGAGGATATTTTCAAGAACTGCTATATTTGTGAGGATAGTATACGTGTTCAATAGCTGCACAATAAAAGCAGTTCGACCGAGGACTAACACAAGGCATTTATTACCATATTTCTGAGGACTTCCATGCGATCAACATTGCGGAGACAAACGTAAGCACTATGCAATCAAATATTACTTCAAAAGATTAAAAATATGTCTAGTAAATGAATAACAGTTCTCATGGTTTTACTCCCTGTTTCAGAAGTATACACATTGGAAATTCAATAACGCGTACACCGACAAATAGCCACGTTCACCGAAATCCCAATGTCACCACACTCAAAACTTTGTCAAAATGGCAGAGGTTAAGGTCCGGTGTGTTTTTGGATTCGTGCCAACTTGTCAGCATGTTTCAATCTTGTGGAACGGCTGGTCTTTGTGTTGTTTATTTATGGTGGGGATAGTAATTGCCTTTTAAATTCCATATCAACACTAAAATGTTTTCAAGAACATATTGTCATCTTAATTTCCACGAATTGAAGTGTTTGAAACCATTTGGATTGCAATTACTTGCTTTAAATTAAATTCAGACATTTTCATCATCTTCTAAAAGCACAAACATTTCTTTTAGCATCTTGTCAGTTCTTTTAACTTGTTTAAAAAGCCAAGTTATCCCTCATCATTGCATGCTTAAACATGACTTTTTTTATGCATTTCATGGCCCAGTGAGATTTCCTTTTAACTGGTGGGGCTACCCTTGTAAATAAAATGAATCAAATAAATGAATACAAAATAAATACTGCTCCAATTTAATGAAACTCTCGCAACTTTATTAAAAAAGAATCCTTTTTAACGCCGTCCAATTCTTATTTTACATCCAATGGAAATTGCCCAGAGTCATGTCTGCCTATCGTACTAATTCACACTTTCCAAGTACGAACCCTTCACGACTTTGAGAAAGTGACCAACGCATTATGAGAAGCTGACCATGTCTTTCATAGTACGGCAGATTTGTGATGGAATTGTTCACTTTTATCATTTACCATGTTTATTTGTTAAAAAAAGAAAAGAGGCTACTGTATATAATATAGATATGTCATGTTGTGGCAAGATGACAGCATTTTGGCAAGGAAAAAATAGATTTGCCAATATTTCAGTGCTACAAACATTCACCACCAATTCAAATAACAAAATATTGCACATAAAATAGTCTTCAAGACTGCAGCCTCCTGAGTCATGCATGAATTGTGACAGTGTTTATCAAATATTTTCAGTGACTATGAATACTGCCTAAGTCTGAGCAAATTAGAATAATAACGAAACATTGCAGGGCAATTACATAAAGGTGTGTTTGTTGGAATGAAATTTGCCCTGCCTTGCCTTATAACTGGCATTAACATTCAATTGTTAAATCATTCAAAAATACATTGCAATAGTGACGGCATCATTCCCTTTGGCAATTAACTTGTCAAAATACATCCCAAACATCTACATGTAACAGATCAGAGCCAACTTACATACATGTAGAGGTGTTTAAATGGTTATTCAATTGTCAACCCGGATTATATTTATTTTTCTCAGGATGTGCTCGCTCGAACTGCCAGCATTAAAAGCTGCTGTTTGATTATCAACAAACCTATAGCCAAATATCTTTCCCATGATACTCTGAATGTGTGCCAAGTTTCATACCTTCATCATAAAAGTGAACAATTTCCATTATATTGTGCACCAATCTCCGTGACTATCATGCAAACATTACACATGTACTGGTAGTCCAAAGCAATCATACTACAGACTCGCGAACCATATAAAAGCAAACAAATCATTTACCATGTTAATTTTAAAAAAAAGGAAAAGAGGCTACTGTATATAATATAGATATGTCATGTTGTGGCATGATGACAGCATTTTGGCAAGGAAAAAATAGATTTGCCAATATTTCAGTGCTACAAACATTCACCACCAATTCAAATAACAAAATATTGCACATAAAATAGTCTTCAAGACTGCAGCCTCCTGAGTCATGCATGAATTGTGATAGTGTTTATCAAATATTTTCAGTGACTATGAATACTGCCTAAGTCTGAGCAAATTAGAATAATAACGAAACATTGCAGGGCAATTACATAAAGGTGTGTTTGTTGGAATGAAATTTGCCCTGCCTTGCCTTATAACTGGCATTAACATTCAATTGTTAAATCATTCAAAAATACATTGCAATAGTGACGGCATCATTCCCTTTGGCAATTAACTTGTCAAAATACATCCCAAACATCTACATGTAACAGATCAGAGCCAACTTACATACATGTAGAGGTATTTAAATGGTTATTCAATTGTCAACCTGGATTATATTTATTTTTCTCAGGATGTGCTCGCTCGAACTGCCAGCATTAAAAGCTGCTGTTTGAATATCAACAATTAAATGCAATCAACGTCATATAGCAATGTAAAACACAAATACATTACATTAAAGGGAATATACATCATTTGCTTTTGCTGTAATTTTCAGAAATGGATGGAATTGGGGGGTGGGAAATATAAAGCAAATATAGTTACACTGACTTTTTGGAGGTTTTGGGTTCGAAAATGCTATAAAAACCAAGAAAAACGATCATTTTCCTGTAGTCTGGTTCCCTGACTCCATATAAGAAGAAACAGAGCAGTTTACATACATTGGGGAATTGTAAGGTCAGGGAACCAGTCTAGCTGGCTCGTACCCGTTCATAGATTTGTAATCGATTGCAAACAAGTGCAATGGTCAATTGGGGCCAGTATTTGAAAAAAAAGCCAGTTGTTTCCAACGCTGATCGGCCGATCAGCGTTGGAAATTGATACAAAAATACCACTTTTCTTGAAAATGACAGTATACCAGGTGCCATAATTTTACAGGATGCTTTAGACTGTCATTTACCAACATCCTATTAAGGTATTTCGTAAAAACTTGGTAATTTTATTTTTCGATGTTTGCAAATGTTGTATATTCCCTTTAAAGTACATGTATCTATCCACAAAACTTCTGGATTCCCTTGGCTGTGTCATTTTTGGCACAATGGATTACCACAAAAAATACTCAAATGTTTCTGCTATAAAGTGAACTCTTGCTGAGGACCAGCCAAATCTAAGGCTCACAAAATGATGTTTTACATTGAAGACATTTTCAACGCAAACTTGTTCCATGTTAAGCCGTGTTAAATCATCCAAGTGTACAAATTCAAGCAATTTTACTTTATAATCAGTGTACTTGCCACAATGTTTCCCCCAACATCTTACAGATCAGAGCCCTGTTGCATAGAGTTTTTAAATGGTTATTTGGAATTCTTTACATGGACGGGACCACACTGGAGATTGTACATCATCAAAAATCTAAAATTCAAATCAGCTTGTCATATGCAAAACCTTTAACTTGTCAGCATTAACACATAGTGCTTAAACATCAACAATTACAAATCAACAACTTCAACTGTATAGGGTGAGTAAAAAAATGTCCCTCTGGATTCGATCCTGTCTCTCACAAAAAATGGTAAAGTTACAAGGCCTTTTTTTTCAGCCAACAATTGTTCTGGGTATTGACGTGACGTTTGCTGTAATTTTCAACGATATTCAGTCATGCGTAAATAAGATAAAGATATTTCTTTGTGACTACCTGAAAAGATGGCCATCACAATGTTCATGGTAGGCCTTTTGCTATCAACACAAAAGCAGTAATGGGCCTCTGGACAATTAAGGGGAAAACAGACATAGCAGAACAGAATATGGACGAAATGAATTGCATTTATTAAACCTGAATCTGAATTACAGATAAGATTCACAATTTTACTGTCCTGCTGCTCGACGTCCTTCATCCTGTCTACCATTTAGAGCAATGCATAGTTGTGCCCATGTCCTTATGCCTGCAACAGCTCTGAGTACCATCCCTGTTTTTCGACTCAACTATTCATTGCTCTGAATGGCAGACAGGTAAGGTCAAGCAGCAGGACAGTGACAATTTGAATCATATCTGTAATTCAGATTCAAGTGCAAGGTTGAATATCGTTGACAATTTTACTGAATGTGGTCAATACCCAGAACAATTGTTGGCTGAACAAAAAGCATCCTACCTTTTCCCATTTTTGTGAGAGATGAGATCTAATCCACAGGGACCTTTTGTTGACTCGCCCTGTATAGCAATGTAAAACACAAATATACATTGCATTTAAGAACATGTATTTACTACGTTTCAAATCTGGTACAATGGATTACCACAAAAAAGTCCAAAAATGTTTCTGCTCAGTGAACTCTTGCCGAGGACCAGCCAAATCTAAGGCTCACGAAATGATGTTTTACATTGAAGACATTTTCTACGAACTTCTTCCATGTTAAGCCGTGTTAAAGCATCCAAGTGTACAAATTCAAGCAACTTTACTTTAAAATCAGTGAGGAGCATAATTCCTTTAGTGTACTTGCCACAATGAAGTTTCCCCCAACATCTTACAGATCAGAGCCCTGTTGCATAGAGTTTTTAAATGGTTATTTGGAGTTCTTTACATGGACGGGACCCACATTGGAGATTGCTATCTTATGATCTAAACTTTAGATCAGCTGATCAGATGCACGTTGTTTCAAATCGAAATATGCTAACTGGGAAATCGGTGTTGTGGTTTGGGTCAACTAATTCAATTTAGAACTTGCAATGTTTCCCCAGGTGTACCCGTTTAGTATGCTTTTATCCTCAAATTGTTGCCAATTTAACTGTCAGCATTAAAAGATGCTGCTAAAACATCAACAATTAATAATCAACAACTTCAACTGTCTAAACGTACACCTTTCTTAATATTTATGCAGACAACATACTTTAAGGGCCAAATAGAGACTATGAGCGGAAGATTTTTAAGATATCGGTGAAAAACTGCACTGGTCTAAAGTGTGCTGCAAAAAGTTGATTTCTCCAGCAGATATCAGTTTCCATAGCAAAGACCACACGAGACAAAGGACCCCCGTTTAAGGTAGATTATAGATTTACGGACAAATTACTATAGGATTACGACCACCGTATGCAGTCGGCAGTACAGCGGCATGGCACACAGCTGTGCTTGAAAGATTGAACCAAATATCGTTCACTTGATCAGTGCGCCCCACAAGTTCACGATGACACACGAAACAGCTTCGCGTCTTCACTTCAGGCTCATCTGGATGATGCTGCTTCAGATGCCGAGGCAACTTAGGAGTTGGTTCCATGCAAAAGACACAAAAATGCTTCTTGTCCCACTTTCTACCATCACAATTGTTGGTGGTTAAGACAGTAACATTAGGTAGTGAGGTGCTTGTGATACGGGCATCTTGCAGCTGATTGCTTGTCTCCTCATCCTCAGGACTTGTCCCGCTACATGTACTTGAACCATCCTCTGACTGAACATCACCTGGCACCGGATCAATCCCCTCAGAATTGTTGATGGCCGTGCTGTAATTGGTTGCATGCAGTCTGCAGTGCAGTGGCATGGCACACAGATATGCATAGCTTGTTTGGGAAATCCCAGTGCCTATGCTCATTGGGAATTCAACAAAGAGGAAGGGCTACCTCTAGTTTTTGTCCAGCTGTCTGAGCATGGTAGAGGCCTTGTGATTCGGAATCAGCACAGCCAACAAAATCATATTATTTTCAGTTTTGTTCTATTTTGCATCGATCTTTTGCTTCATAAATCATTCACAAAGCAAAGGACTGAACAGAACAGAACTAAACTGGGAAAAAAAACCTGAAGATTTCTTTGGCTGTTTTGAGGCCAAAAACTACGGCCTCTGCCATGCTCTGACTGCTGGACAAAAACTAGATGTGCCTCCAGCTGTATTTGTCAAATTCCAGATGAGTGTTGGGGCTGGGAGCTAACCTCAGGTTTTCCAAGCTAGGGCAGGCCGGCAATCCCCTACTGCTGGAATGAGTGACTGCGGTGGACAGTGGTCATAATCCACAAGTATTTTGTCCGTCAATAAACCGAAATCTACCTTGAACATGGGTCATCTTTGCTATCCATTCCCTCCGACGTTTAGGATCCACCAGAAACCTATATGTGCTGGTCGATGGTGGTGAACTCAAATTGTTTGCAGTACAAATTGGAACAGTGCAGTGTTTCCCTGACATCTTGAAAACCTACCACCAACAGCCTTGATTTCGCACTTCACGGAAATGTACAACATTTGCTATTGCTGTAATTTTCAAAAATGGATGAATTTTTAATTTTTTTTTGGGGGGGGGGGTAAATAGCAAATATTTTTACACTGACCCGAATGACGTTTTGGGGTTGGAGATGCTTGAGGAATTAGAAGGTCTGGCAGTCTGGCTTGTACCCATTCACAGGTTTATATTCTATTGCAAAGAAAATGCAGACTAAAAATGATAAATTGAGAGCAGTATTTGAAGGGAAAAAAAAACACTTTGAATTGATACAAAAATACCTATCCTTAACAACCAGCCGGGTCTTGTATTTCGTGATAATTTGGTAGTTTTATTTTGTACTTGCAAATGTTGTATATTCCCTTTAAAGTATGATGTCAGCGTAAATATTATTTAAATCAGATTGTGTGGTATTTAGAAACAAAATGTGCTCAGCACATGTACATTTCAGACTGATTCCACTAACTTTCTGTCATACTGAGACTGGGAAACCAGTGGTATGTTAATGTCGCTTAATTAAATTGTGAACTCGGAATTTGAGTTTTTCCCAGGATGTGCCCACAAGAACCGGGTTTTCTCGGATGCAAGTTTCACATTCATGTTTTTGGGGAACTCTCCCAGTCCGTATGTGTAATGCAAAAAACCCGTCAACTGCCTGCCTCTCAGCATCACTCCACACTTTTTTCTGAGTGGCACCCGACTTCTTTCCTGAAAGAAAGAAAAAATCTACACTGAAGTACTTCAAGTTTAATTCATAAATAAAAATGCTAGTGCACAAAATGTTTTTGTCTCACATTTGTCTCTCAAAAATTAGTCAAAAGTCCATTGGTAGCCTCAACAAAAACTGTATAGTTTGACTGAGGGGTATGACCTGATATTACACCATCTTAAATGCAATTTCTTGTGTAATAATTTTGAAAGTCAAATAGGCAATAATCCTCTGTACTGATGACATCACACTATATTTAAATACTTGTGCACTTTCCTTTGGGAGCCTTGTGGAGTACAATGGTTGGTAGCGCCATTGAAATAATCACATTGATTAAGCAAAGTGTAACATCATTAGTATGGAGACTAATGTGAGGACGTAATGCACTTACATGTACAACCATGAAAAGTGCATTTATAGCTAAAAGGCTACTTGACCACTCACTACTTTAGAAGTATCGAATCAAGATGACAGGACCTAAATCCAGCTATAAAACCCTGGGATAATAACGAGTACTCATAAGAAGAGACAAATTGGACAATTTTTGAAAAAGGTTACTAAAAACAGATGGACAATTTTCTTGCAATTTGGAAGTTTGCAATTTGCAAGCTCTTTGGGTTTAGCAAATGCATTTCTCCACTGCTTACCTCTGCTTCTCTGTGAAGGCTGCTTTGTTGCTGAGCGATGAGGCTGACTGCTTCTCTGTGAAGGCTGCTTTGCTGCTGAGCAATGAGGCTGATCACTTCCTTGTGCGGAAGACTGCTTTGCTGTTGAGCAATGAGGCTGATCACTTCTCTGTGAAGGCTGTTCTGCTACAGAAGTTTGACAGTCAAAAAAAGTTAATTTAAAAATTAGAAAAGAAGCGTTCAAAGCTCAAAAATGTGACTGTTGGCCAAATTCCACTTAGAAATCATGAGCATTATCTTTCATATGAGGCACTTTATAAACAAAGATGACAACGACAACAGTTAAATTTTGCAAAGGCCGAATAGCTTAATATTTTAAGCATATAATCTATGTGCCATATTTCATGCTTATATAAACAAATGAACATTTCAATCATGTTGTCATTGTAGTTTACCAATCTGCCTGACTTTTCCAGTTATGAGCATAAAGGAGTGTTGTTCTATTGAATCTGGTCCTCATTAGAGTTCAGAGTAATAAATGTAAAAATTCAAATTAAATTGAAAGTGACTCCAACAGTAGATATAAAAAGAGGTAAGCCCACTCTGAATCTGGAAATCCAGGCAGGGGTCCAATTAAAACAGTAAACGGTATTAGAAATGTAGAATTAGGTATTACTTTTATATAGATTTCAGTTCTACTTTATATTTTTGGTTCTGATGATGATTACGTTTAAAAACCCAAACACTTTTTGAAATAGGTTACTAAAAACAGATGGACAATTTTCTTGCAATGTGGAAGTTTGCAATTTGCAAGCTCTGTCAAAAAACGGACTGCACTTGGGTTTAGCAAATGCATTTCTCCACTGCTTACCTCTGCTTCTCTGTGAAGGCTGCTTTGTTGCTGAGCGATGAGGCTGACTGCTTCTCTGTGAAGGCTGCTTTGCTGCTGAGCAATGAGGCTGATCACTTCCTTGTGCGGAAGACTGCTTTGCTGTTGAGCAATGAGGCTGATCACTTCTCTGTGAAGGCTGTTCTGCTACAGAAGTTTGACAGTCAAAAAAGTTAATTTAAAAATTAGAAAAGAAGCGTTCAAAGCTTAAAAATGCACTGTTGGCCAAATTCCACTTAGAAATCATCAGCATTATCTTTCATATGAGGCACTTTATAAACAAAGATGACAACGACAACAGTTAAATTTTGCAAAGGCCCAATAGCTTAATATTTTAAGGATATACTCAATCATGTTGTCATTGTAGTTTACCAATCTGCCTGACTTTGCCAGTTATGAGCATAAAGGAGTGATGTTCTATTGAATCTGGTCCTCATTAGAGTTCAGAGTAATAAATGTAAAAAGTTCAAATTAAATTGAAAGTGACTTCAACAGTAGATATAAAAAGACGTAAGCCCACTCTGAATCTGGAAATCCAGGCAGGGGTCCAATTAAAACAGTAAACGGTATTAGAAATGTAGAATTAGGTATTACGTTTATATAGATTTCAGTTCTACTTTATATTTTTGGTTCTGATTATGATTACTTTTAAAAACCCAAACACTACGTAAAGCAAGTCAAAGCTATTGGCTACTTGCAGTACGTTTCACAATTAATAATTTTTACTTTAACATATTTGTGTCAGAATAGATCTCTCTCGCAGGATGCCATTTTTTAAGGAAAATTGAGTACAACTTCATGTTCAATAGACTTTTATCATGCTTCCACCATTTCAGTCATGTTCCCTGTATCCAATAACAGTATTGAATGATAATTTTTTTTGTGCAAAAAGGAACCAGACTATTTTTCCTTCCAGCATCGCTTTGGTTACGTAATGATTTGAATGGGAAACAAATGAAGATGGCCACAACATGATAATGTTCTATCAGCTGATCATTGTGCATGTGTGAAGTGTGCATGTTCTTAATATGCGCACATGATGTTCAAAACCTATTTGAAATACGGTGCAGCCAATGCGCGTCATGAAACCTTGATGCCCAAAATGCCGACGCACATGGCAGTCTGTAGGATGTGACGTCATTTGAAAGAGACCTATAAAAAAGTGTTTATAAAACTGACATTCTATACACACATGTACACATGTAGATCTGTATTTGTAACAAGTGACCTGGCCAATTTTATTCTTGATTTGATTTTAAATTTCATACAAATAGCAACACGCTTGATTAAAATTTTATACAAACTGCAATACGTTTTGTAGAACGCTATTGGTGTTAGAATTTATGCTTACCTGCACTCTCTGCTTGTGAAGACTGTTCCTCATCCTCTGAACAATCCTCTAAAAGGGTAAAAAAAAAAAAAAAGAGGGAAAAAACCCAGATAAACAAAGAGAGTAAAGTATTGGGAGCACATCCTAGTTTTCATGCCATGCCAGAATGCTAATGTAAATTTGCTGCTTGTGGATGTCGGACATTATTGATATAGAATTATTGAGACAGGCAGCACTACCCGGATACCAGAAAACCCTGAAACATATTTCACACTTCCTATAACAGCACATACATGTAAATTGCGAGATGCCAAAAGCCAATCCCATAACTTAAGATCCCATAAATGTTAACTGACAAACTCAATTTCCTGTGATGCAAAGCACTATTTGCTTGTAAAGTTTGGCTGCCATGCAACACAAGTATTGTGAGTACACGTGTAAACATGACATTCCTAGATGTTATTGACATTAAAGTGAATATTAGTTATCTTGTCCAGTTGGCAGAAATAATTTTCCTGGAACATTTTACCACCAAAACAAAACAAAAAACTTACCATCAAGATTGACTTCAATTTCATCCAAAGTCTTCCCAGCCACCTGGTCAACCTGTCCTTTTTCCAAAAGCATTAACAGTTTCGCTATCTTTGCTGTCTGCAGTGTGCTTTCTGGTAGCCGATAGTATTCGCGGTGAATTTGAATATCATGCCCCATGAACCCGGCCAGTACATCTAATTCATTGTCCTTGAGGCAGAGAACTTGCGATAGGGTCGCAACATGCTTTCGCAACTTGGTCGATGTAACATACTCAGGATGCTCTGCTTCAGATTTTGTGGAAAAATACTTGAGAGCATCACAACCCCTGTATGCACTTTTGCACCCTGGTCGAGCAAAGAGATGGGGGTTATGATCAAGGACCCCTACCGCTCCTCTGGCCTCAACCAACACATCAATGCTGTCAATCATAGAACTGGTCAGTAGTATGGGAACCTTCCTTCCCCTCTTACCCCGTATCTCGACACGAGCAAGCTTAGTGCAAAGTTGCTTTTCCCATGATGACAGACTGTTCAGAACTTCTTCATTGACCTCCTTGTGGTGGTGTCGATAGTTGTCCACTGTCATACGTTCAACTTCCCCACTTCTCCTTCTGTTGAAAAGGACCAGCTGAACCATTATGGCTTTTGCCAATAGGCTGTAGTGCTCCTTCTGGGGATCTCGTTTCACTAACTCCTTCTTCTCCTGGACCACTTCTTCAACCTTCTGGTGAACCTTCATGACATCAGTAGACAGAGGTAATATTGCTGGTTTGTTCCATTTCCTTTCATAAATGGTTGTTAGAGCCCCTTTCGAGACATTTGAAGGCCACAGAATGGAACACAGCTCTTCAAATCCTTCTGCTTTTTCTCGAAGTACACCATCCTGACTTTTGATGGCATCGGCTTTGACAATTAGCGCACACTTCCGGAGTGAATGGCCCAATTTCAAGGCCAGAGATGGCGTTTTGTAGTTTCCCGTCTCTTCATTTAGACCAGCTACCACATTGACCGATTCGACAACATCGTCAAAGTTCTTTGGATCTATACAGTCACCCAAAGTTTGGATGCTTGTGTTGATCTCTCGAGCCTTGAGTAGGAGACGGCCCACTTCTCTCATCTTTTGGCTGACATGCTGGTGGAAGTTTTGAGCACGGCCAACTTTCCCCAGGGTGTGCATCCCCAGTTTGATGATTAAGTCATCATTTCTTGCAACAAGGGCTACGTCACTGTGTTGCATGTGACCAATGATTTGATTTTTCATGACATCTGAGACCTTACTTGAAATAGGCAAGAGCAAAGCACACTGAGACTTGAGTAACTTTCCACAGGGCTTTCCTTCTTCTCTCATCACACAAGACTTCTGATGCTTCCACATGTCAGAAGACATGAAGTACCCAAAACAAAGGTGGCAAGGAAGGTACAGCTCAGCTGGGGTCTCATATGTTGGTCTCTTGTAGGGGATGAGCATCCCCTTCTTATCCTTTAGGACCTCTAGGTTATGTGCATGGTTGCCCCTGTTTCTCAGCACTTCCAGCAACTTTTTCCTCTGCCCTGACTTAACTGGAAATCCCAGGATGTGCTTCACTTCAGGCTCATCTGGATGATGCTGCTTCAGATGCCGAGGCAACTTAGGAGTTGGTTCCATGCAAAAGACACAAAAATGCTTCTTGTCCCACTTTCTACCATCACAATTGTTGGTGGTTAAGACAGTAACATTAGGTAGTGAGGTGCTTGTGATACGGGCATCTTGCAGCTGATTGCTTGTCTCCTCATCCTCAGGACTTGTCCCGCTACATGTACTTGAACCATCCTCTGACTGAACATCCCCTGGCACCGGACCAATCCCCTCAGAATGACTAGTTGATGGCCTTGCTGTAATTGGTTGCTGCAATCCCTGATATGAAGGCACCCTTTGAAATGGTATGAAATATGACTCGTCTGAGTCATAATCTGATTCCAACACACATTCTGGAATATAAGTTGGGTCTTCGCAGCTATCGTCGGAGAAAAGGATCTCTTTTGTAGAGTCAGCTCCATGAACAATCAGTGAGTCCTAATGCACATATGAAATCAAGATAAAAATGGTACAAGTTTAAATGGATTAGGAAATCAGCAAGGCTCATAGGCTATGAACATTTCAATTGGTCAATGAGAAGGTTTTTTACAATACTGTGGCACCCTGGTACCTTTCAAGGGTTACTCTGAGGAGTGCAATACATGTACTGTGATACCAATCAATGTTAATGTAATGACTTGTAGACAATGATACCTTAATCTGAGTGTAGGATAATGCTCACATTTATTGTGCATGAAGTCATTTCATCACCATATTCAAAATTCAGACATCATACATGAGAGACACTGAACTGCATCTTGATTTGCTGGGTACATGCTGTGGCCATTTGTAACCTATTACTTTTTTTATTAATAATCGTCAAAAATAACTTTTGTGTGTGCAATATTTCAATCATTACAGTCCCAAATTACTACAAATTTACTTCCCTCACAACTGGAATATGCACAATAAACAAATAATGAATGTTCGTAATAAGTGCAATGGCAAGAATAATTTAATGAAACGACAGATGAATATTCCATCCGTCACCAAATACCATTTTTTAAGGTTTTCAGGATATTTCACGACCGTGGGAACCCTGATTTTTTACTTACGTCATTAGAAACTTCACCACCATACATGGTACTGACAGGACCCTGGGAGAAAAAAAGAGGAAAAAATATGCATAATTCAATGAACAATGAATGTGCAATGAGCAAATTACTGCACTACAAAGGTCTGAAATGACAATGTGCAGAAACACACTACTACTGAGGACATCAGGTGATACTACTACCAAGGACAAAAACACATTGGAGACATTATTTGCAGCCTTGGCATCCTGAAAGAAAATTTAAGACAGTTTGCACAACAGCAGTCTTAACCCTAAAAGAACCGGGGGGGGGGGGGGGGGGGGGGCAATCCCGCCACCCTATATTTTGCATGATAGTGTGTTGCTGCTTATTTTTTTTCGTGTGTGAGAATTTTACAAATTTTTCCATTATTATCTTAGGCACATTTTGATAACAAATTTATGAAAAAAAGGGGCTATCGTTCTCGCACAATTAACATTTTTCCAACGGTCTGCGAACAATTATATGATTGTTCCAATGACATTGTTCATGAAAACCATGCATACGCAGAACATTGTGTGGAATATATATAGCATCGATCAATTTGAAAGAGATTTGGAACAGTTATTCATCAATATTACCATCATTAGCAATAATTTTATTTAAATCCGTCACTTTTTGGCTGAGATCTGAGGGTTGGGGCTGTGAATGACCCTGTAAAAAAGGCTAGATGACAACATAGAGAGATACACTACCACCGAGGACATCAGGTGATAAACTAGTAATGACGACAAAAACATTAGAGACTTACATTATGTTCAGCTTTGGCAGTGGCAGGTTTGGAAGTGGTCACAGTGGCATCCTGAATGAAAAAATAAAGACAATTGTTAGTTTGTACAACAGAGGTCTTAAATGGTAACATACAGAGATACACTACTACCGAGGACATCAGGTGATATACTACTACAGAGGACACAAACACAGAGATTAGAGACTTACATTATGTACAGCTTCAGCAGGGGCAGCTTTGGCAGTGGTCACAGTGGCAGGTTTGGAAGTGGTCACAGTGGCATCCTGAATGAAAAAATAAAGACAATTGTTAGTTTGTACTACAGAGGTCTTAAATGATAACATACAGAGATACACTACTACCGAGGACATCAGGTGATATACTACTACAGAGGACACAAACACAGAGATTAGAGACTTACATTATGTACAGCTTCAGCAGGGGCAGCTTTGGCAGCGGTCACAGTGGCAGCTTTGGCAGTGGTTACAGTGGAATCCTGAAAGAAAAAATAAAGACAATTGTCAGTTTGTACAACAGAGGTCTTATATGACAACGCAGAGAGATACACTACTACCGAGTACATCAGGTGATATACTACTACAGAGGACACAAACACAGAGATTAGAGACTTACATTATGTACAGCTTCTGCAGGGGCAGCTTTGGCAGCGGTCACAGTGGCAGCTTTGGCAGTGGTTACAGTGGAATCCTGAAAGAAAAAATAAAGACAATTGTCAATTTGTACAACAGAGGTCTTAAATGACAGCATATTAGAGATACATTACTACTGAGGACATCAGGTGATATACTACTACAGAGGACACAAACGAAGAGATTAGAGACTTACATTATGTACAGCTTCAGCAGGGGCAGCTTTGGCAGCGGTCACAGTGGCAGCTTTGGCAGTGGTCACAGTGGAATCCTGAAAGAAAAAATAAAAACGATTGTCAGTTTGTACAAAAGAGGTCTTAAATAACAGAGAGATACACTACTACCGAGGACATCGATGATATACTACTACAGAGGACACAAATGAAGAGATTAGAGACTTACATTATGTACAGCTTCAGCAGGGGCAGCTTTGGTAGTGGTCAAAGTGGCAGCTTTGGCAGTGGTGACAGTGGCACCTTTGGCAGTAGTTACAGTGGAATCCTAAAAGGAAAAATACAGACAATTGTCAGTTTGTACAAAAGAGGTCTTAAATAACAGAGAGATACACTACTACCGAGGACATCAGGTGATATACTACTACAGAGGACACAAACACAGAGATTAGAGACTTACATTATGTACAGCTTCAGCAGGGGCAGCTTTGGCAGCGGTCACAGTGGCAGCTTTGGCAGTGGTTACAGTGGAATCCTGAAAGAAAAAATAAACACAATTGTCAGTTTGTACAACAGAGGTCTTAAATGACAGCATATAGAGATACACTACTACCGAGGACATCAGGTGATATACTACTACAGAGGACACAAACACAGAGATTAGAGACTTACATTATGTACAGCTTCAGCAGGGGCAGCTTTGGCAGCGGTCACAGTGGCAGCTTTGGCAGTGGTTACAGTGGAATCCTGAAAGAAAAAATAAAGACAATTGTCAGTTTGTACAACAGAGGTCTTATATGACAACGCAGAGAGATACACTACTACCGAGTACATCAGGTGATATACTACTACAGAGGACACAAACACAGAGATTAGAGACTTACATTATGTACAGCTTCAGCAGGGGCAGCTTTGGCAGCAGTCACAGTGGCAGCTTTGGCAGTGGTTACAGTGGAATCCTGAAAGAAAAAATAAAGACAATTGTCAGTTTGTACAACAGAGGTCTTAAATGACAGCATATAGAGATACATTACTACTGAGGACATCAGGTGATATACTACTACAGAGGACACAAACGAAGAGATTAGAGACTTACATTATGTACAGCTTCAGCAGGGGCAGCTTTGGCAGCGGTCACAGTGGCAGCTTTGGCAGTGGTCACAGTGGAATCCTGAAAGAAAAAATAAAGACAATTGTCAGTTTGTACAACAGAGGTCTTATATGACAACGCAGAGAGATACACTACTACCGAGTACATCAGGTGATATACTACTACAGAGGACACAAACACAGAGATTAGAGACTTACATTATGTACAGCTTCAGCAGGGGCAGCTTTGGCAGCGGTCACATTGGCAGCTTTAGTAGTGGTGCCAGTGGAATCCTAGAATAAAAAAATAAAACGATTGTCAGTTTGTACTACAGAGGTCTTAAATGACAGCATATAGAGATACACTACTACCGAGTACATCAGGTGATATACTACTACAGAGGACACAAACACAGAGATTAGAGACTTACTTTATGTACAGCTTCAGCAGGGGAAGCTTTGGCAGCGGTCACAGTGGCAGCTTTAGTAGTGGTGCCAGTGGAATCCTAAGATAAAAAATAAAAATGATTGTCAGTTTGTACAACAGAGGTCTTAAATAACAGAGAGATACACTACTACCTAGGACATCAGGTGATATACTACTTCAGAGGACACAAACGAAGAGATTAGAGACTTACATTATGTACAGCTTCAGCAGGGGCAGCTTTGGTAGTGGTCAAAGTGGCAGCTTTGGCAGTGGTCACAGTGGCAGCTTTGGCAGTGGTTACAGTGGAATCCTGAAAGAATACATGAAGATAATTGCCAGTTTGTACAACAGAGGTCTTAAATGACAGCATATAGAGATACATTACTACTGAGGACATCGGGTGATATACTACTACAGAGGACACAAACACAGAGATTAGAGACTTACATTATGTACAGCTTCAGCAGGGGCAGCTTTGGCAGCGGTCACAGTGGCAGCTTTAGTAGTGGTTACAGTGGAATCCTGAAAAAAAAAAATCAAGACAATTGCCAGTTTGTACAACAGAGGTCTTAAATAACAACAGAGAGATACTACTAGGACATCAGGTGATATACTACTACAGAGGACACAAACACAGAGATTAGAGACTTACATTATGTACAGCTTCAGCAGGGGCAGCTTCGGCGGTGGTAACAGTGGCAGCTTTGGCAGTGGTTACAGTGGAATCCTGAAAGAAAAAATAGAGACAATTGCCAGTTTGTACAACAGAGGTCTTAAATGACAGCATATAGAGATACATTACTACCGAGGACATCAGGTGATATACTACTACAGAGGACACAAACACAGAGATTAGAGACTTACATTATGTACAGCTTCAGCAGGGGCAGCTTTGGCAGCGGTCACAGTGGCAGCTTTGGCAGTGGTTACAGTGAGATCCTGAAAGAAAAACATGTGAAGGCAGTTGTCAAATTATTACTTAGAGGGGTGGTAAGAATTCCATATATGGACAATACTAATATCTGTAGTGACTTATTACACTATGAACATCTTTATCCCTTAAAAATTCCCTAAAGAGCCATTTCCCCTGCATTACCGTGAAACAAGACTTTCACAGGTTTTTCAACATATTAAGGGGGATTAGGAGTCCATGAAACCCCCCTTAGGAAAGTCCTGTGTTTAGCTGTCAATGAAAAACGGGTGACTTCACCTGGAATGTGGTACTGCTTTCTGTTATGTAAACAGTGTCTGTAATCCTAAATGGCAAGGGTCATTAAAAACCTTGAAAAACCCCTTACAGGATTAGTTCTATAATCCCCAGTTAAACAATTCCGTGATTAGAGATTAATTTCACAGAAAAATGGACTTTTAATGGAAATTTAAGGGATAAGATGTTCATAGTGTTATTAACCCCCAAAAAGTGATAACAAATCAAATTTAGCACTGAACATTTTTTTAGTATTTAAGAAAATACTTATAAATGTTTAGACCAGTCTCATAGGGTTTGTGCACAGGGTGTCTAGTACAGGCATGCAACTGGAAATTTAGAAAAAAAGAGGAAATTCCCAACCACACAAGACTAATTTGTACATGTACAGTGTTTTTCAATTTGTAATGGCATTCATGAGAGGTAAAAAACAAATCAGCAGATACGTGGAAAAGTTGCATGCCTGCTAGTATTGTCCGTGTATGGAACTCTTTCCCTTTCATTGTGTACAACTGTGTAACAGGTCTCAGGATCCAAGGAGAACAAAAGACAAGTGTTATTTTACTGTCACAGCAACAAAATGATATTGAAAGAAAGCAATTTGACAAACATGTGTTCCCCATCAGTGCTGAAGTCGAGACCATTTCAAGACCAGGCACAAGACCAGCTTGTAACAGGCACAAGTAACAGGAATAAACCATGACAAAGGAATGCTTTTGTTACTGTTCATTTGAATAGCTTAAGACTTGGCTTAAGACTGCTTGTCTTGTGCTGGTCTCGTGATGGTCTTGCTGGTCTCGTGCTAGTCTTGACTACAAGCTACAACACTGGTTCCCATAAAAATGTGGGACTCCCAGGACAACGTACATGAACATTTTCATCAAGTAACAAATTACCAAAGAGGACACAATGCTTTGTTGACTTACATTTACACAGCTGGCCAATGAAAAAAAAGATGAAACACGATCACAACTAACTAATAACTATAGGCCTTTTCACACTGTCCAAAATCTCGGGGTTGGAACCGGTTCCAACCCCGAGATTTTTTTCAACCCTTTTCCCACTTCTAAAGTTTCAACCCGGTTCCGACCCGGGTAGAGTGCTCTAGCCGGATCGAAATCAACCCTGGGAGGGACCAGGGTTGAAAATCTCAACCCGGATCGAAATTGCATTTTTCGGCGTGAACCGTGTCGAAAATGATAGTGTGAACCGCCCCGGGTTGAGTCACTCACGGCCGATCCGTGTTGAGTTGAGGCCGACATTTTACCGAAAATCTGACACACCGAGCATAATATTTCCCTCCGCCACTATCGCCGTCACAAACACCGATCCCGAAACAATCGCTCCCTAATTATCATCCAATAATGTATCGGTGTATGGAGCATCCTTTACCGAGTCTGGGCTTGTATTAGGTCCGCAAAATGTACCCCAAAAATGTACATTTCTAATGTTAAATAGAACGAATCGTCTAACGAAATGACCGGAGCCATTTTGGAAATATTGCACACAGCTGCGCTGGTGTCGTACAAAAATCGGACTCCCAAATCGGATTCGTTTACTCTCTTATTTTTGGTCAAACCCTTTCACGTGACAGGTCCTTCTCCCAATAGGCATGCGCAATACTACCAATGAGTCCGTATTTCACAGAGTAGTAAATTCACGCTGCACACCGGCCTGTCCGTAAGCGCGCCTCGTGCGTCGCAATGCATTATGGGATTGAGAAAATCATCGCAGCGCCCTGTGCCGAATGCGATCCGTGTCGAGAATTTGTAGTGTGAATTCACAGGGGCCGTAGCCGGATTGAACGTTACACGGTTCACGTAGCGGCCGTTCCCGTAAAGGACAGTGTGAACGTCGCGTCTCTCCGATCCGTGTCGAAAAATACTCGGGCTGAACCGGGTTGGATCCGGGTAGGTTTCAACACGGTTCGAAACGGAGATAGTGTGAAAAGGCCTTATGAAGGCTAGTAAAAAAACCCCAGTGCTTCAATAATAGAGGGGTTTATCTAGACACATACAATGTAATGAAGAAACAGCTTCATTTACCATCATATCAACTGGATGGTTTCTCCAAGGGAGGTCGTCTCCTCCATAGTCATACAGCAACTGCTCCCCTGCTTCGATTTGTCTCGTTGCAAACAAGGCCAGAGCTGGTGTATTGCCAATGACCATTTTTTTCATTTTGCAGTTTGCATCCTGTCCATCATTGACCATACGCCCCATCAGTGCTGAATGTGTTGCATCAATGCTAAAACAAAAAGCAAGGAAAATATATATGAAATAACTACAGTGGTAGATGGGTTTGTTAGATCAGATTGATGTCAATTTAATTACTTCTGTCATCTATCTGTACAGGTATGAGCTTTCATTTGGTTATGAACATGTTCGGGTCTCATTTCTTCTACCTTATCATAGCACATTTACGCTTCAGCTTATATTTATTGAAGGTTTGTCTTTCTTGACTTCATCTGCATTATTTTATTGCATTTTGCGCACAATTTAAGTGAATCGGAAATACAAATCTGAAGTCTTATTAATGCTAGAATGAAACAAAAATTTACAGTGAGCCTAAGTTTTAGAGTAAATTTTATTCCAATAGACATACCACATTGTCTTTGATGCATGTACAAAGAAATACATGTAAGTATTCCTTTCAGGGTATACAGCTTCTCTCCTGTGGGCCTCATTTGCAGAAATTAAGTCCCCGTGATACTGAAGCAGAAAGTCACCTTTTTCAAAGGACTCTTCAGCAAATACCCCATTGCCTGTAACAGAAGTACATTCAAACAAGGTATCCACAACCTGATTTGTAAACTTTGTTTAAGGAACTGTTTTAGCTTTGATCTTGTTTTATGCACTGACCAATACAAATTTTGCAAAGACAGATTTACAAATTTGTGACGTCGACAATGGTGAACGCACTTCAGATGTATTGTTGACGTCTCAAATTTCACTTGGCTTTTGCTTTCACGTGAAGTATGAACCGGGCTTCACAAATGTTATTGCACTTTTGCATGGTTATATACTGCCAAGAATCTCAGCTTCAAATCCAAAGCATGCGTTCTGGAACAAAAACTACTTATGAGGGACATTTGCAAACATTAATTTAAGTTTATGCATCACAATTCACAAACTGGGATGGGTACCGTATTTTCGTGCAATGCAGTTTAAAAGATGTTCCCAACATGTTCTCACTTCTCTCACAGAAACGACATTTAATTGCCAACATTTATTTGCACATCTTTTTAAAATGATGTTGGGAGAGAGTTGTTAACTGGAGAGTAATTGAAACAAGAAAACAAGAGCAAAGAAATGTACACGTACTTACCAATTATGCCATTGATGTATTTTGTCACAAGACCTCTCCTGTCTTGTTGATGTTCAATGAATTTTTCTGCTTCATGGAGGGGATTGACACGTTTTCTTTTTGATCTCAGGCTCTGAAAGCAATCACATTAAGTTTACCAATTAAACATCTTCTGCACAACATGGGATACACGTACGTGAAGACATCAGATGTTGCATCAAAAAGCCCACTTTAATCAGTAAATTACACTAAGGAAGTCACTGGCATGCAACGGCAACGGTCATGTCACATACAAAAGCCACACTTCTAGCTTCACTAAATAGGTTCAAACGAAAGCATTAAGACCTTGAAAAAGAAATCAGGGAAGCAGAAAATATGTAGGCATATGCAGAAAGAGAAGGAAAGAGTGTTGCAACCTGACACCACTTTTACATTCATCATCTCAATTGTGTTTATGCATGGATGCATTTTATGCACCATGCGATTGTGATAAAACAGAGTTGAATACTAACAGTATCAAGTAAGTTCCGTAAAGCCCCTGTCACACCTTTGCGTATCCTAATTCCTTATGAGTTCCTTATCAAACATTTTCAATACGCAGATACGGACGCATCCAACTTATGTCGACCGCATGCTTGACGCACTTCTGAGCGTATTCCCGCCGCATTTCCGCCGCTCGCCGTTCAGCATGCGTTGCATCTGTGCTGCAAGTACGCTATGTATACGTCCAATACAGGCGGCTCATATGCTGACGGGGTGCGTCACGAACACATAGCGTACTCGTAACGCACTTATGACCTGCGCAACAGCGTACGCAGCGTAGTTTTGTGCATGCCCAAAACTATCCTGCGTACTGGGCTGTACCATGCGTACATCTGCGTACATAAAACCTACACAAGACGATAGAGATGCATATAGGTGCGTATTGTGGGAACGACTGCGTATGAAAAAAATGTCAATGCGAAACTCATCAGGAATTAGGATACGCAGAAGTGTGACAGGGCCCTTAAGCCCCTGTCACACTTTTGCGTATCCTAATTCCTTATGAGTTCCTTATCAAAAATGTTCAATACGCAGCCGTACGCTCAATTAACGTCGAAATGTTTTGATCACTTTGACTTATGTGCGACGCACATCTAGCGTACAAGTAACGAATTCAGCGCATCCATTGTGTATGAGATGCATATGAGTTGCGTATGCAGTGCACAACATTTTTTTTTGGGCTGCGAAAAGTTCAGTATGCAGTGCGCATGCCGAGCGTATTCCGGACGCAACCGACTTATGCCGACCACATGCTTGACGCACTTATCTGAGCGTATTCCCGCCGCATTTCCGCCGCTCGCCGTCCAGCGTGCGTTGCATCTGCGCTGCAAGTACGCTATGTATACGTCCAATACAGGCTGCTCATATGCTGACGGGGTGCGTCACGAATACATAGCGTTGCGTATTTGTAACTTATGACCTGCGTAACAGCGTACGCAGCGTAGTTTTGTGCATGCCCAAAACTATCCTGTGTACTGGGCCGTACCATGCGTATATCTGCGTACATAACACCTACACAAAACGATAGAGATGCATATAAGGTGCGTATGGTGCGTACGACTGCGTATGAAAAAAAGGTCAATGCCCAACTCATAAGGAATTAGGATAAGCAGAAGTTAGCCTCAATAGTGTGGCCGCGGTATGCTGCGCTGAACCTCTGGCCAAACACAGTGGTCCACGCACTACTGAGGACGTTTTCGGAAAATTTACAGGCAGTTTCTTACATATGGTTGTATTCTACGATGTCCCATCTATCACTTCTGGGATGCTTAGGTGTAATGATGTTCAATTTTCAGAGATATTCTTGAATCTTTCTGGAGCCCATTATGCACTCGTGAAACGTCTGGTGATGGCAGCCATTTTGAATGTGACAAGAGATGACCTCAAGCTGTGACGTCGCGTTTATGCAAATTGCTTGTCGAGCGAGGGCGCGAGTTGCAAATGCGACGGCTGTTTCCTGTGTCGCGCGCATCGTCTAAGCCGTCGACATCGATGCCCACACAGTGCATGCGCAGGGTATTATTTTAATTTTTATTTGGAACAGGAAACAGCTGTCGCATTTGCAACTCGTGCCCTCGCTCGACAAGCAATTTGCATAAATGCGACGTCACAGCTTGAGGTCATCTCTTGTCACATTCAAAATGGCTGCCATCACCAGACGTTTCACGAGTGCATAATGGGCTCCAGAAAGATTCAAGAATATCTCTGAAAATTGAACATCATTACACCTAAGCATCCCAGAAGTGATAGATGGGACATCGTAGAATACAACCATATGTAAGAAACTGCCTGTAAATTTTCCGAAAACGTCCTCAGTAGTGCGCGGACCACTGTGTTTGGCCAGAGGTTCAGCGCAGCATACCGCGGCCACACTAGTGGGGCTACGCAGAAGTGTGACAGGGCCCTTACAATAGCAGTTGAAACTTGCGCTACAGCTGCCGTAATAATACTATAGCCAGAGCAGAAATGTTATGTAGGCCTACATGTAGGCCCTGTGTGTAGCATGCCTGGCGCAAATTCACAATAATGAGTTGAATATGTAACTGTAAGAGAAATGCTTACCTTAATCTAACCCAGGGTAGTCAGTACCGTTAAAATTAAATGTGCAATGGTTTCTTGTCAGAGTGTCCACAATGACATACACAGTCAAAAGAAATATCCAAATCATAAAGAAAAAGACTACAAAAATTATCCTTCGTATATAGTTCTGAAGAACTATGATTTTTTCACTGTTGGCAGAATATGCAGGGCCTGCCATTCTTACCACAGTAATCAATGACTAACCATGGACAACATAATGGCTAACTCTTGCATGCAATTTGATGATCACATGACTAAAATACTCCAAACATGATTGGTCAAAAGTTCAAACACTTTTAACTGTTCTATAGAGGGCAACATTTAATGAGGACCAGATCCACATTTCACCAAGCATATTGACTTTCCTGGAGTCACGTGTTTATTGCTGCAGGTAACGTTAGTCCAGTGTTCCCAGTAAGGCCACATTTATCATGGGGCTAGTCCTAACCTAAGCCTAAGCATGCTAAGTAAACTTTGCAGAAATTCTCTTGAAAAGTTGAATGAACCAGGGTTTTTAGCTTGAGTAACTCCAGCTGTAATGCCTATCGCATTAGAGCTGGAGTCACAACTACGTTAAAACTACCGGGTCGTAAGAATCCCGAAATAACAGACTCTGTATCCCCAGTGCATTACAAAAACGGTCAATTTTCCCTATATTATCCCGACCCAGATCCCATAATTCATACCTCATACGATACAACAGACATTTATGAAGGTAGTAATCGACTTCAAACAGAATATCGAAGACTAAAATATGAAATTTTTCGATGATTTTGGTGGCGATTCTCGAGAAACCATGTGAAAACGTCGCGCGACACTATTCTGCCGACTGCCGTTGACCCCCCCCCAAAAAAAACATTGGCAAAATAAAAACATCAGATTTACCTCAAAACAGCCTCTAAATTACTAGATACGCCACCTGAGGTAAAATGAAAGATCGATGATTAAAATCGAGGTACTAAAGTTTGCTTACGAGTCGGCTGAAAAGTGAAATTTCCCGTTCAATTCCGAGAGCTCCCCTCGCGATCGATCGTGAACACGTTAAATTTCCGACTCGTGTTTGAACAACGCAATGTAACCGTACGTGCCCAGCGTTCATTCGATGGTCACAGCGCGATTTCGTTAACGAGCGCGATGCATCGATTATAATGGTTGACTGGATCTCGTTTGTACACATAAGTGCATTCGAACTGTGATACGGAGTCGGGAACTAGGGCAGCTCTCAGCGGAAACCAGTTAAAGCTAGTTCCCGACTCCGTATCATCGTTCGAAATGCACTTGTACAACGAGATCCAGTCTACTCATTATCATAATCGATGCATCGCGCTCGTTAACGAGATCGCGCTGAGACCACCGAATGAACTCTGGGCACGTATGGTTACATCGCGTTGTTCGAACACGAGTCGGAAATTTAACGTGTTCACGATCGATCGCGAGGGGAGCTCTCGTAATTGAACGGGAAATTTCACTTTTCATCCGACTCCTAAGCAAACTTTAGTACCTCAATCTTAATCGTCGATCTCTCCTTGTACCTCAGGTGGCGTATCTAGTAATTTGGAGGCTGTTTTGAGGTAAATCTGATGTTTTTATTTGCCAATGTGGTTTTTTTTTTGGTCAACGCCAGCGGCAGAATAGCGTCGCGCGACGTTTTCTCATGGTTTCTCGAGAATCGCCACCAAAATCATCGAAAAATTTCATATTTTAGTCTTCGATCATGTTCTGTTTGAAGTCGATACTACCTTCATGAATGTCTATTGCATCGTATGAGGTATAAATTATGGAATCTGGGTTGGGATAATATAGGGGAAATGGACCGTTTTTGTAATGCACTGGGGATACAAAGTCCGGGATTTCGGTCTAGGCCTAGGCCTAAACCTAGCTGGCCTACTCGATCGCGAAAGCCCCATGCTAACGTCCATTACGTACAGACGGTTACACCTCTTATTTAGTCTAAAAAAACAATAGGAAACAACAGATTTAGGCCTACCAAACTCGTTTGTGATATTCTTCGAAACAAAATTCATACCATGGTGTTGCCAGACCACGGACAACCAAGGAGAACCGTTCCTCAGTTGTCAGTGATAATTTATGTTTACCGCGCACACGTCCATTGATCGTACTACAAGTCTAGTCTAGTCCGCGTGCGTGCAACGAACGCGAATTGCCGCGCAATGGGATTGCTCAACCTCGTTCTCACGTTGTCAAAGATTGCATTACTATAGCATAGACCCGGGGAACGTACAACGCGGTGGCTCTCTATTTCACTGGTGCACACTACTTGAAAATCGTATGGTTTTCGCTGGTTGACAGTAGTGTGTCTAGCGGGCGCTACTTGTAATAAAGACCACTCAATGAAACAGTGTTTCTGTTCTAACCATACTAGCAGGAATTATCGCACGTCAGAGGACACCGTAAGAAATTAATAGGAGGGCATAATTTGTCATTCTACTGTTCGTGAGAGGACAATACTTCCGAGGACGCGTGTTTTGTCCTCGCTGGTATTTTTTGTCCTCTGTCGTTTGGTGTGTTTCCAAGAGTTGTTCCTCGGACGTAATGTAATACAAAAACACAAGAAACAGTACGCGATCGAGCAGCATCATGTCAGCAGTCACTGAATCGAAAATGGTTTGTTTACAAACTAAACACGTACGGATTTTTTTACAGCTGAACAAAATTGACGTTCTTTTTCAGTATTTAAGCTTAACTAAATCAAAACATGATGAATGTTTACCATGTCCGATAGTTGTGGAATTCAGTGGACCGAAATTAGGTGGCAAGTACACTTTGTGTCAACTTTTCATGATCAAAATGTTGTATAGCAGTTTTGCAATGCACTTTAAAAATTGCGTCGCAGTCGGCCTCGAATGTGTCGCAAATTGCGATGCGATACCGCTTATTGCGGACCCTGGCCCCGAACCTCACGCCCCAAGGGCTTCGCGCTTTACGCTCGCATCAGTTCTGATCAAGGTATGTTCCCCCACTTTTGAAAAGCGAGAGGTTGGGGTTGAAATTTGACAATAGGCCTTATACCTAAGTGAGTATGGCGACACAAAATTAGAAAAATAATACGAAAAATAGGGATATACTGTAATTTTCGGAATATAAGCCGCGCGGTGTATAAGCCGCAGCACGCAAAAATCTACAAATTAAGATCTTAACCCTAAAGGGGCCGGGTTATTTTGACCATCTCTCAGCCGGGGGGGGGGGGGGGGCGGATTCCCCCCCCCCTAAGATCTGATAAAATTTGAAACTCGGCACATGCATAGAGCAACTCTTCCTAAACATACCCAAGAAATTTCATGACTATAGGTCCAAGGGTTTTGGAATTATGGCTAATTAATTATTCAATGTACGAATGGCAATTCTGCTCTGTGTACACGACGTATATGCGAAAATTCAGTTTTCACGGCGCGTAGCGCCGGAAAATTTTTCGCTACGCGGCAACCTGTGGTCCGATTTTTATGTTTTTGGTTTCAAAAGATGCGCAAAGCTCCAGGCTAAAAAGTCATAACAGCTCGGGTCGCGAAAAAATTTTTTTTTAGAGGCAATCACGGAAAATCCTTAAGCGCCGTAGGAAACGATGCTGACATTTTTATGGACGAATCCATTAATTTTGTAAGGGGTGATTTAGTCCCTGTTTTGAGTTTTACATCGTTTCTTGAATTCGTTTCAAGAAAAAAAATATATACTGTGACGTTAAACAACTTATTATCTAATAAAGAAATGTTTCGAACACCATGAAAAGTATTAGTCGTCTTTTTTCCTTCTTTTTTTTTAATGCAGAAATATTGGTAATTATTGTTTCCAAGAAAGTACACCCCTTCATTTCCACCAATGGTGTGGTCCGCTGGGGGAAAGCATGCAGCTAGCTGCACACCACCCATGGTATCACGTACGGCTTGTCACAAGCGTCGAAGACAGCTTTCACCGTACTTTTTACCGCTCGGTACCTTGGTTTCGGTTTGTTAATGACTTTTTAATTGATAATTCATTTCAGCAACACCTCTCTTCTTATACCAGTACATTAACTACACATGTGAATCTTATTTTTATTCTTCAAGGCTCAGCGTATAACCCGCCCTGTGTATAAGCCGCAGTAACCTTTTATCATGGACAAAATCAAGCCGCGGCTTATATTCCGAAAATTACGGTAGAAATAGTCCACATGCATAGGTTAGCAGACATTACGTAGGTCACACTTTCGTTTCGGACCAACTTCACACTTTTCCCATTTGCTTTGATTTTGCTTTAATCCTGCTCTGGGAACAGTAACTGGATCTTGCCCCCCCCCCCCCCCCCCCCCCCCCACTTTTAAAAGTGTTCCGCCGCCGATGGGCGGGGTAACAAGTGACTAAGAGATCAATTCATAGGCCATAACTTCATCATGTTTGGGTACCAGACTACAATGCAGTCAATGAATCTAAAGCTCACCTCTGTCAGAATGAAAAGATTATCCAGCTGCTCACCAAAGTATGCCATCACAACAAGCAGCAGAGCACACGTGTCTGAGGTCTGGCCTCCACAAATTCTTCTGGAAGAAGTAACGTCACTCATTACACTCATAACAACCGACTTCATGAAGTTGAGGATTCTTGACACTTTGGAGTCAAGTGCAGAATACAATGTCTCTTCAGTGTTCAGTCCGACTAGCTGCTTGAAGTGCCAAAAAAATCCCAGCCCTTGTGAAGGGGAAAGGCCACTCATTCAACAAAACTGTAATGGATGCTAAGTTTTGACGAAATAAGACAATGTTGAGTGTAACCTTTCAATGACAAACTTTCAAAACTGCACAGCTCACATTTATACATGTGTAAATGGGGCTAGGCCTAATGCAAAGCAAGGAACAGTAGGCCTACAACAAGTCATGTTGACAACAATCACTGACAATGGTTGAACAAGGTGGCAGAAATTCACCTTCAAAGTCAAACTCTTGACAGACAGACATAGGCTAGGCCTAGCTGCTCAGGGTAGGCCTATCCTACCACAAGACACGTAAAAAGCCTAACTTGGACTGTAAATAAACAATTCACTTGGCATTCTTGATGAGCGTACTGTGGCAGAACCGGGGGGCTGGCGGGACCCAGGGGGACTGGTCTTGTTTATCCCAGGACTCCTACCCACACCTTTTATCCCACAAAAAATATTTATTAGCCTAACGAACGGGTGAGCGGCTACCCAAACGAAAGGGGGGGGGACAATATTATTAACGAACGGTGGACTAAGCCTAGGGGCTGTTCGTTTGGTGGAAATATACCGTTTTGTGACTTAGTAATTAATTGAATGGAACTAGAGCAATACAAGTAGCGACAACAGGCCTCAAGGTGAATCAGGTAACCCTCACGGCAGACCTAGGTAACCCTCACGATGAACCTGAGTAACCCTCAAAGAGACAAGTGATTCCAAAGACGATTATAGATATGATTTATTCAAGAATCTCAATCATCAATGGATTTGTTCAATAATCACTACAATAATTTACAATATTATACAATAAACGAGGTGATAAATATTATGGACGTAAATATCTCACACTGTGACACAATAGGCAATAACCCTCACTCGTTACCTCCAGGGTCAACTGCACTCTTTTGAAGTAACTTAGTCTAACGTAACCCTCACGTGGTCAACTGCACCACTAAATAAATAACAGAAAGATTAGCTTTATGCGGTCAACTGCACCGTGTGTAGTCACTTATACAATTATAATGAGGTAGCACAGTTCTAATAACCCTCACACAGATAGAACTGTCCCTATAACTCTTACACAATAAAGGTAACCCTCAACCCGATTCAGCGTCAAAGCAGGTTGAAATGTGTAATTCCAATAACTCTCACCCAGGAAAGGTAACCCTCAACAAGATTACACAATATAATCCTTATGTGCAATAACCCACACACACAAAACCGGTAACCCTCACAAGTGCTCAGAACGCAGCAAAGAGTAACTCGTTGGGCAAGCTAGTTCAACGATTACGGCAATGATCGCAGTCGTTAAACCCCACCGAATGGTGTCCAACCCACGACAAGCAATCTACTACCGAACCACAGTCCCACTAGCCTCTCAAACCCAGTTCCACAACTCCTAGCCCCTTATGTTCTAGCACTAATTAATCAAGACAAAATAGTCAGTCTTAATTTCCCGACTAAATCTATGTCACCAATTCTCCAAGATAATAGAAAGTTAATTGAGTCAATAACAAAACCTGTGAGACTCCATCAACTCACCGGTCGCACCTTGTATGTCGATCAGACGTTGTCCCCAAATCTGAATTAATCTCAGGATTTAGCACGAGTTCTCGCTGAAATGATACGCAATGAGGTCTCGGTTTTACATCACCGTCGCCATCTTGAAACCAACTGGCTAGGCGATGTCAAGCACCACTTTATAAGCGCCCCGATTTGGGCAATGCGCGCTGGTGATTGGCTTACGCGCGTTCATGCACTATTGATGCTCAAGTCACGCCACATATTTCATTGCTGATTGGTCTACGCGCGCCATTAATGTTAATGACCTATGCGCGCATACATAAATCACAGATTAGACTAGTCACCCTGTTTCGCTACAGTACTGTGTTGTGCGTGTACATGTGTGTGACCCCACCGCCGCCACTTGCCTAGGGCCTATACGTTACAATACATGCGTGCACCTACAGTACACGCACCCACACAAACATGCCAAACACACGTACGCGACCTAGCCAAGCTTATCGCCACGATCGCGTCCCCCAAATCACCCTTTATATCGCTAAAACCGAGACACAAATAATACCTGACAACTGTCAATCCGTGTATTTATCCAAAAATATCCAAAAACATCCAGAAACATTTCATTTACCCCGTTTATCCAATGTAAGTTATCACTGCCTCGGTGCCTGCAGTGCTGTGTGAATGACTCCAAACAAGATGGCGCGAGAGGGCGCTGTTCTATCGGCGACGCAAAATACCCTACGGCAGTTGTGATAAAAGTCGGAAGGCTTACATCATACATGAAATAGTCGTTTGCAGCAATTGCATCATCCAATCACTGGCTTCTTTGCAAGGAACTGAAAATAGAAAGCTGGGCGAACAAAATGGTGGTAAATTTATCTGTAGGCAAATGCATCTCTGACTAGACTCGGAACGTCTGCTCAAACTTTTTGACATGTGCGTTCTGGGAGTAAAAAACGTTATTTTCTGTTAATTAAGCTTTATTTTGATAGAGATCATGTTTATTTATTAGAAAACATCATTACTTTAGATATAAATGATTGCTGAAAAGAGTTATACGGTGCGAAATTTATTTAAACGCGGGAAGACTTTGGGGCATGTTGGGACGATTTGTTGACGGTCTACCTGGCGCGCGAAGCGGGCGGTTGCTACGACGCAACCCACATGCTGTGTGGCAATCTCGTGCATGTCGTACTTCGTAGTCGCGGCGCATAATCTACAGCAAAATAGTTAGAGCCTTCTTCCTTCTGTAAATTCGCCACAAATCTGCTCTGCAGTACATGACACCACAATGGGTGAGTACAATTTAGCGACATTTTCTTCAAATATGTCTGTCAATTTGGAAAACAAGCAAAATTT